GAATGCTATTTACTATCACTGGTGAAAAAGACACCATGTCCAATCCACTGCCCCATAACTGATATTATTTCTGTAGGCTCTGTGCTGTCAGCCATTTCCATAATGAAAAGCACCATCAATTCAGTATCTGATGACCACCATAATGCCCATGGGAAAGGCTAAGTGAACCTACCCCTAACCAGCAGATTTCCCGTGTGCCATGTCCACGCACATCAACTAGGATCTGCTTTTACAATCTTCCTGGCTCCAGGGAATTTTCACAGCGCAAAGAGGCAACTCCAAGAGGGTCCCAGACTATCTCAGGAGAATGTCGAGTGTCAACATCTTCCCTTGCTGTGGTCTCCAGTGTGCAAATCATGGCCAGGTTCTTGGGGAGGACGCTCCAGTGATGGACAGTCCTGAATCGAGGTATTCCAGCTAAAGGGAGGGGGACCTCTTGGCACCCTGGGGCTGAGATGGATTAACCCAGCAGTGATCTGCCAAACCTTCACACATTCAAGTTATTTTTTAAACAGTCTGAGTTTGGCAAAGTGCATGTCACTAAGCCCCTTTTCTCGACATTTTTATACCCATGTGACTTTCAAAGGAAATTTAATATGTATGTTTCTGATTCACTCCAGCTTAACTCAGCACAATTGTTCAGCGAGCAGCGCTTTGCGTCCAAGAATCTTCCTGAACCTTTCCTTATTTTTTTTTAAATAAGCCCCCTGAAATGATTTCCCTTCTAACCAGGAAGTGTGGTGGTTTTTGTTTTTCCATCACAAATCGGACTCAGAAAGATCCAAGTCTGGCTCAAAACTCAGAATCTTAATTCCACAAAGGCTGGAGGACTGGCAAAGACTTCCTCCCATGGCCAGGAATGCCCAGCGGTGGCACTGAGCTGCTGGAGGCATTTCCACAGAACTTATTACTCTGGAGTGACAATGTGCCATAGCCTTGATGGCGGAGAAGGCTGGCAAGCCCACACCTTGTTGGACCTTGAGTACAAGGGGCTCTGGCAGTCACGTCAGCTCCCTAAGGGCTGGCACCTCCCTCAGTCGAGTTGAGGGCATAGCAGACACTCCAGGGCACCCACCCAACGTGGGCGACCAAAGCTGCGAGTGAATCATGAAGTTAGATTTATTTATTCCCAGGGTTGGCTAAGTCTTTAAGATGTGCTGTAGGATGCGCACGTGGTGTGTCTAAGAGCATCTGATTAAAGTCCAAAACAGCAGAGAGGGTGATAATGGGCTGCCCTCTGTATATAAAGAGACATAATGATTCCCTGGGGGTCTGGAAGTACTTTGTCCTGCTCACTGGACCCCAAACCAGCTGTATTTTGCCAAGCATTCGAGTCAGTCACAAGACACAAGACCTAAGGAGCAAGCTTTTGCATGTCCTTTGCTCACAAAAAAAAAAAAGAAAGAAAGAAAGAAAGAAACCCAAAGATGGAGACCCAGGGCTCCATTTCAGACCTGCTTTGTAGCTACAAGAGAGCCACTGGGGCTCCAGCCTTCAAGTCCCTGTTCCAGGGAGCAGGAACGAAAGAAAGCCTCGGGGCTGGCTCCGGGCTGGCTCTGGGCTGTGCTCTGGAAGCTGGCTCTGCAAAGGTGGCAGGGAAGCGCCTTGCTTCTATCAGTAAGTGTTCTGTGGCACAGGAAGGAGAACTGAAGGGGTTAGCAACTGCCCCCCTTCTCCTCGCATGCCCTGTCTCAGCCTTGTCACTGTGCCAACCACCAGGAGGCAGACCCAGGGACAGTCTGAACACCCCAGGCCTCCAGCCTCTGTGTGTCAGGGGAGGCTGTGGATACTGGGATGTTCTGGCTGCCTTGCCTCACTCTCATGGTGTGGGTGCAGCCTTCTCCCTCGAGGCCAGAGGACCAAAGAGAAAGCTGCTGGAGGGGCGATGTGGTCATCTCACGGTAAGGGGTGGGGGTATCTGTGCTGCTTTGCCAGCACTGAGAAGAACTTGCAGGGGACCTTGAGCTTTTGTCCCTAGTCACCAAAGAGCCCACTGTCTGGAGGGGTGGGCTCCTCCCGCAGGCCTCATAGCAAAGCAACAATCCCTCCCCGCCAGTGCTGTGCACACGCCAGCTTCCCAGGAAAGCAATGGGAAGGCACACCCAGGGCCTGGCCTGGCACCCAGCTACTAGGAGGTGGTGGAGAACAGTGTGGCCCCAGAGGCCAGGAGGCCTGCTCTGGACATAGCACCAGTGGGGGACAGAGGAAGCTCTGGGAAGGTCTTTGTGTCCCTCTGGGGCCCAGGTGCCAGCCTTGAATGCGAGCGGACAGAAGCGGGGTGCCATCACCAACATCATGGTTGTTGGCTGCTTTTGGTACCAAATTCAATGTCTCCCGCTCATGATTGCGGGCTTGAGAACAGAATGAGGTTGCATTCCGGGGACAACCTGTCTGTCCTGCTTACTTTGGTTAAGCGTTCAGCAGCAGGTGTAGCAAGTATCTGGGGACTCAGCTCACCTGGCACGTTCAGGAGCCTGAGAGCAGACAGTGGGAGTGTCCCAGAGTTGGAGACAAAATAAAGAGAATTTCCCAAGCATGCGATCGGCACAGGAACCAAGGCCCAGCCTTCCAGACACCAGAAAGGAGCCGGGGCGCAGGAGGAGCTTGCTCAGTGGCCCATGTTCCCTGGGACCACCTGGAACACCAGCAGGTGGCATGCAAAGCTGTTTTCAATAAGCTCTCCTGAGACTTTCCAAAAGGAAGCCAGGGTTCAGGAGGTGCCTGGGTACACGCCGCTGGCACATACCTGGACTCCAGGTCAAGAGAGCGGTTAGAGGGCTTTGAGCCTCAGCCACTGCCAGTGGCACCCCCAGACAAGCCAAGAGCCCGCTGTGGGCAAACCATTCTGCCTTCTCAGCCCTGAGGCCAGAACCACAATTGGATTCCTGAGAAGGACATGGGCCCCTGCCATCACACTTGCACCTGTTAAGCCGCTTGGTACCTTCCCTCCACGGGACACGGCTCCAGGCCACAGGGCCACGGCAGGACACAGGTTCCATCAGCTGGCTAAATGACTGGGACAGAGGGATGTTAGACAAACCGCTCTCTCACGCCATGTACCCTCCACCCCCACATTGTCTGGCCGCGTGGTTGCTGCGCTGACGAGGCTGTCTGGGGCAAGTCGCTGCATGCCTCTGTTTACTCACCTGGAAAATGGGAAGAGGAGCATCTCGACGAGTGTAGGCCAATGGAGTCCGGGGAGAGAGAAGCTGCTTGCCTAGGCAAGCCCAGAGCTGGGGCCGGCCTCCTCCTCTGTTCTCAGGGAGCCTCCTGCTAGGACAAGGCCTACGGGCCGGGCCGAGGATTCTGCTCTGATCTCAGGCAAGCTCCCAGGATCATCAGGTGTCGACAGGAGGAGCTGCAGGTGGGTGCAGAGCCTCCAACATCAGCTGCCGTGGCTTACGAGGTCACCCTGGGCTACGAGGCGAGGCAACCCCCATTTCTGAGTTCCTGGCCAGAGGGGTGGGCAGCCGTCCACTCCCAGCGAACAGGCAGGATGCCCTTACACCCTAGAGGAGCGGAGTTCCAGTGCTGGTCCCTTCACCTGCCTCCCCCCCCCTCAACCCAGCAATTATTTAATTAGCCTAGCTTCCTCTATAAATATCCAGGGTTTTGTTTGTGTTTTTAAGACCTGGCTGAGTGACGGGTGTCCGCAAATACTGGATCCCAGCTCAGCTCCTACTCCTGGAGCTCGGTTTGGCAATCTCGCCTAGCTGTGTCACCCTGATTCCCCTGGGGGCCTGTACCCTGCACAGAGGCCTGGCTGATAAACCTTTCGGTTCTTAGGGAGGGGTTCGTGAGATCTAGGGCTTGGCAGCTGGCCCTGGGCTGTGGTCTGCTCAGTTGTTCTCATGAGCCCTAAGTGGGAGGCAGGCTGGCACCCACAGGAGCAGAGGAGGAAAGTGGTGACTTCTCTCTGGGCTCACCAGCATCCAGGAGCCGCAGAGCAGGCAGGGAGGCAGCTGGTTGGCTACCAGCCAACCTTGGCCCATTGTAGGGGCCCTGAATGGGGCCCCTTTACTCATCCACCCCGGAACCCAGCGGGCAAGTGGTAAGGGGAGGGAGAGGGCAAAGGCTTTAAAGCTAGCCCATGGTCTAGGAAAGACAGTGGTACAGGAAGCAAGCCTACCCTGGAATTGAACGCCTGCTTTCATCAGGAGTCCGCAGGAAGGGCACTCAGAAGTGACTGGTGCATGGCTCCCAGGGGGTCTGGGGCAAGAGCCAGTGGCTCCAAGGAGAGGAGCTGTGAGTGACCAGAGATTCAGCTCTGGAACCAACAGCTGCAAAGACGTTGTTTTCATTGAGGTTTAACGAGTGCATTTAAAAATTCACAGTGATTGCATCCCAGGGCTGGGGCAGGACTCGGTGCTGTGTGCCTGAGGGGAGCAAGCTGCACCGCAAGGTGAGGAAAGGGCCTCCTGCGCCATCCGCCCAGCAACTCCCAGGGCTGGGCAAGGGCCCGGGTGGACTTGATAGCGACGGTCCCGATTCGGGCCGAGTGGGACGTGGCGGTCCTCTGTGCCGTGAGCGAACGGGACTGAGTGGCGGCCCCAAGCAGGGTCACCCCGCCCGGAGCTCCGATCCCCCTTCCCCCGAAAGACTCAGGGACCCTGGACTGGAGAGCACCTTCCCGGGCGCTGCAGGGAGCTCCAGCTGAAGTTGGGCAAGAGCCGCAGGCGGCACCGGGCAGGGGGCAGCAGGTGCTGCTGGCAAAAGCGCGGTCTGTGGGGACCGGAGTGGGCGCTCCGGACCTCCGGGGGTCCCCCTCTCCCTGATCCAGCCCAGCGTCCGAGTCCTGGGACTTCCGGAACTTGGAGAAGGTGCTTCGTAGAGCTCGTCCAAGAACGGACTGGGACGTTGCGGGCCCGGGACGACGGGCGGGGTGGGGTGAGGCGGGCCGGCCCCCTCCCCGCCCTCCGCGTCTGCCCTCCCTTCCCCTCGTCAGGCAGCCAATTAGCCGTCCCTGAGGCGGGAGGCGTGGGGAGCTCCATAAAGCGGCGCGGAGCTGTCACCCCGGGAGCAGGCTGCGCATCGCCCAGGCGCTTCTGGCCAGAGTGCAGAGGAGCCATGGCCACCACCAACGGGGCGGTGGAGAATGGGCAGCCCGACAGGAAGCCGCCTGTTCTGCCGCGCCCCGTCCGCAACCTGGAGGTTAAGTTCACCAAGGTGAGGAGGGCGTTCTTCTCACCCGACGGCTGCCTGGCTCTGGGCAGCCGGGGTCGGAGAGCCGGGCAGGCCCAGGGGGTCCGCCCGCAGCCTCCGCCTCTGCACCGGGCGCTTCGTGGCGGGGCATTCCGGGCGGGTCCCCGGGCTCCAGGCAGACTATGGGGCTTGGCAGCGAGAGTCCGGAAGCCGCCGGTCGAGGAAGACCGCGCGGCGCCCAAGTGCAGCGTGGCGCGACCCCTGCCCCTCGAGGCCCGCTCGGTAGGCGGATGGAGGCGCGCCCCTGGGGTGTGGAGGGGCCGTCACAGACCTCTGGGGGAGTGTTTCCAGGGCTGCAGGAGTCCCCAAAGGTGCCAGAGGACGTCAAGAATGAGCTTGGGGACCCAGGCCACCTCGGGAAGCTGCCAGTGCGAATCGACGGCATCTGTGCTAAGCTTGAACCCGGCTTGGCGGCACGGCTAGGGAGCTGAGAAGCTCCCGGGAAGTCGCGGGTGGTCAAGCCAGTGCACTGGCGCGGCTGCTGCAGCGCGGTGAGATCACCTGTTGCCAGCGGCAGAAGGAAGATGGCGAGGCTTCCAAACCGGGCCCGGAACGGGGCTCCCTAGAGGACATCACCCGGGCTGTTGGGGTGCACAGCTGTGCAGGGGCAGGACGCCAGGCAACTTGGAGACCCTGGGTTGCATGGCCTTGCCTCGGGCAGGCAACTCTTTATGTCTTACCAGTAGTCTCCGACTCCAGCGGGCAGGCACAGGACTTAGAAAATTCACACGTCGATTTTATTTTCTGGAATCCCAGTTATCCTTCCCAACTAGTTTTAATCAAGGGGGGAAAGTTGCAGGCTACTCTGTGTGACCTTCAGATTTCCATCTCGGGATGCTCCATTCCCATGGTCTCCGGGGCCAACATATAAATTGCACAACCTTTAAATGTTTTCAGAAGACTGTATAGTCGCTTGAATGTCAGTGCTGGAAATTATTTTCCGTGTCACTCCCTGCTTAGCATTGGCCTCCGAAGGAAAGCTGCACTGCAACTTCTGGAAACAGCTAGGACAGTACCTTAATTCCGCCCCCACTCCAATTTAACTGTTCCTGCTTGGCTGCTGTTGGCCCTGGCAGTTGTTTTGCGTTTTTTCTCAAGTTGTGTTAAACTATTAGGAGCCAGAAAGTAAAGACATTATTGTCCTTTTGTGTTTGAGTCCCTGGAGAGCCATCTGGCCTCTTACAAGAAGTTTATTTCTTTCTCGATGGATGATTCTTCTATGTCCTGTAAGAGTTTACATGCAGCTGTTTGTAGGGGAGGATGGTAGAAGGCTTGCACAGCTTGAACCGCGTCATCTTTGCTAGTAGGACACTTTGGGTGCCCGTCCTCTTGTTGCTAATAGGACATTTGGGGTGCCCGTCTTCTTGTTGCTACTGGGATGTTTGGGGTACCCTCTCTTTGGCAATGGAACTGTGTGGTGAAGTGTGAGGAAAGATAGTGGGGTGGAGGGCGCTTGGGAGCGGAGACCCTCAGGGTTGCAGGGGACAATGGCTGCAGCTCCCTTGAACTCAGCTGTACCTTCTGTCCTTGTCCCCCAGTGCCCTTCAGGAGAGGCTTGCGGCTTCCAGAATGGGAGCTCCAGAAGCCGGTGCAGCTAAGGCTGGGCTCTCCAGGCTCAGGGAGCCTGGGCCCAGAGAGGCTGCATAAGTGGCATCCGGAGAGAGACTCAGGCAGAGTGAGTAAGGCAGGTGTGAGGTGGGCAGCCTGAGGGCAGACAGAACACGGGAGCCCATGGTGGGCTGCCTTATTTCCAAGCTGTTCCCCAGTGCTTGTTCGTAGCGGACTCATGCTGGAAGTGGTTCTCCCAGATCTTGGCTTCAGCCTTGGTGGTCCGCAGACTCAGGATGATCTGGCTTCTAGAAGAATGCCCCTTCACCTGTGATCAGACTTCAACACAGGAGCTCAGGCTGTATTGTTTTGGTGAGAGGAGAGTCTCACCCAAACTAAGTCCTCCAGAGAAATCTCAAACGATAGCCATCCCTTCCCGTCTGAGGCTCTTTCCTTTGCTTAGCCAAGTCTTTCCAGAGATTCAACTTCTTCTGTGAGTGAAGATGTCCACTTTTAGCATCTCTCACGAAAACTGAAAATTCGCCTGATACTGTCTTCTGCACACTCCTCTTGAGTTCAGCAGAAGGGTCCTGTGGGCATTTCTGGACATGGTGTCAGCAGGATTCACATTTGCCATTGATGTTGTTGTGCCCACCCTGACCACAGCGCCCAGCACAGTCTGAATTCCATGTCGCACTGGGCTTTTGGAGACACACGAATTCAGTGCACAGCTGAATACAGTGTGCGTCTGCTTCACACCCACTGACACGGCCACAGGAACACTTCCTCTCTGCATTCTGATTTGGGAGTCCCGGAGAATGCAGACAGCCCCGTGGGTAGGATGCGTTCCCAGAGGCTTCCTTCTTCATGGTTTTGTTTTTGCTTTGGCAGAGAGACAATCCACAAGAGAAAACTACTCGCAAATGACTTCCCAGGGTAGCAAATAGCCAAGAATTTTGCTCAAGTACAAACATTGTGATGAGGCAATATAGTTAGATTCCAGCAGTCTGAATTCTCTCTCATTTTGGGGGGGAAGGAGTTGCTGGCTACCAAGGACCGTGAATTAATGTCACAAACAACCTAGGAGTGAGCTTTTTGTGTTTTCCCCCTCTTTTGGGGACAGTGCTTGGAGGTGAAGTGTCCCAGGCATCCTTCCGATTGTCGCAGTCTGTTCCCATCCCCGCCCCCACCCCCGACTTCTAGTTTCTTTTGCCACCTTCTCATTTTCCCTGCCCCTTGGAACTGATACCAGGAAGAATCCAGAATCAGCAATTTTCCCTGACAGTCTCTATTATCTAGCCCGCGAAATTTCATCTTCCTGCAAATGGGCCCCTCTCCCTGACTGCAATTTCCTCCCCACACTAACTAAACTCCTCTGCTCCACTTATTAATTTCTTGCTCGGACCGAGTGATTGCTCGCTGGATGGCAGAAATGAACTCTTGGATTTGGTTTCAGTTGGAAGAAGAAACCTGTAATTGTAGCCTGGCCTTTTTCGTCGCGTGTTTCCCTAGGGGCCTGGCCTCTCACGCAAGTGCAGAACATCCAGAAATCAGGCGGACACGATCCCCTGTTTGGCCGAATACTCTCAGCTGCGGCTTCCCAATAGAGCACAGATGTTCTCTGCCCCCCGCCCAGCCAGAAGCTACCTTCTGCGCACAGTCCCTGCCACACCAGACCAGGCTTCTTTCTCCCACAGGCTGCAGGGTTTGTACGAGAAAGCCCAAGGCAGAAAGCAAAGCCAAGTGCCCCCCTCGCTCTTTCTTTCTGTCTTGTCACTAGAGTTGGGTGTTCCAAATGAATCACTTCTCACGATTGTTGAGATCGGCCCTTTCCTGCTCAGGCCTCTGCAGCAGGTCAGAGAAGGCAGCCACGGACAGTGACGGGTGAGAGCTTGCCTTCGGCCAGCCCTGCAGGGCCCAGGGAGCATGCTCTGAACTGAGAACCACGGAGCAGAGCGTCCAAGTGCAGGGACACAACGGCTGCTCTGCTCTTGCTGCTGCTGCCGTGGGGGCGTTGTGATGATGAGCGGCTCCCCTGAGAGCAGCAGAACCTGCCTGCGTCTGCGCTGGGGCAGCCGGGCTCCCTGCGGCGGGGCGTGCATCTACCCTCCTCCCCACCATGCTTCTGAAGGCAAGCAGTGCTGAGCACAGACCACGAATGGACACGCAGAACACACATTCCCTGCCGTGCGCCTTCTAACCTCTCTTTAGTTTCTCCTTGGCATTGCAAAATAAATAAATCAGTCTTCTTGTTCTCTGGGCAGCTGGGGCTCCCAGAGAAGTGGTTCTGTGGTTTATTCCTTGGGTTCGGCTGAGCACGGACGTTTGCTGCATCACTGAATAGATCTGGAACCTTGCTTACCAACACACTTGACTTGGAGTTCCCGCATCGGAAGCAGAAGCAGGGCGTGTGCTGCGCATTGGTGTAGAGCAAGGGGTGCAGTGCGGGTCTCCCCCAGGGTGGGAAGGTGAGGAGCTGCGTGGGCTGGCTCCTTGACAGTCTTGCTGGGATTACAGGGAAGCAGGTGCGTTGAGTGCCTGCTCGGGAAACCCCTGGAATCCTCCCCCGAGATCTGCAAGGGTTTAGTCGGTGAACTCAAGTGTGCCTCCATGACTCTGTGTTCTGGCTAAAGATTTAGAGAAGATGCTAAATGACACAAGTTCTTTTCTGGCAAACCCTTGAGTCCCAATTCTGAGGAGTGTCATGGTGGGGAGGGGAGGGAGGGCAGAAGGGAGTGGGGAGGAAGCCAGACAAGACGTTACCTAAGGACCTAAGCATGTTGCAATGATATGATTTTGATTTAAACCTAATTTGTTACACTTCCCCTCCTGGTTAGATATTTATCAACAATGAGTGGCACGAATCCCAAAGCGGGAAGAAGTTTGCGACGTACAACCCTTCGACTCTGGAGAGAATATGCGAAGTGGATGAAGGCGATAAGGTGGGTGGTTTTTCTCCCTCTTTCTCTTCCTCTGAGCAGTTTGATGGCAGATAACCGTGGGGTGGTGAGGAAGTGTGGGGCCCAGCCATGAGCCAGAGCTGGCCCGTACGGGGGAAAGGCCCAGGCCAGCTGTGCCGAGGCATCCTCCGTGCCAGCTTCTGGTCAGGACGGATGCTGGCTGGGCTCAGAATGGGATCAATTAGAGACCTCCCTCTGCAGAGGGTCGCCTTCCTTTGAAGGATGTCTCCGTGGCTCAGGAATGACCTCACCTCCTCCCTGCGAGGCTGAAGGGAAGGTTTTTATCAATTACTTGAACCTGCAGGCACGGCAGAGTCTTTCCAGAAAGCATTTCTGACTGGCCGGGCTTTACCGAGGGCAGCATTTTGAAACACTTAAAAGATTGACTTCAAGGATTAAACAAAAAAAGGTTGGCTGCCCCAGTGGTGGGAACAGTGATAGTATCTCAGAACCCCCAGCGTTCCGGTCTTCTGGAGCCTTGGGACTGTCTCTCGTTGTTGCTGGGGAGTCCATGTTGTGACACGGGAACTGCAAGGACTTCTGGCTGTGCTCAGGCTCTCGCTTGCATTCTGAATGAAGCGACCCTGGGGAGTAGAGAGGGGGGTGGGAGAGGCGAGGGTCTCCTATCACAGGCAAGCACACGGGAACCTGCCCTGCACCGAGGGAGCACGGGACAGGTGGCAGTGCTCGCTGGTAATGTGTTGGTAGCATTGCACAGGGCCGCTAGTCGGGCGGGGCTTTAGGCTCAGCGGTGACGATTTGTGGGCACCTATGCTGAGCCCCTTTTGTGATGCCTCACGCTGAGCTCTGCTCTAGAGAAGATCACCGAGTCGGGGGTTGGCACTGGGGAGAGAGTGTGCAGGGTTTGGTGGTAGCCCTTCCCGGAGGTGCTGGGGTGCCCTGGGCTCCTTCCTTGGTATAGGTGACTATTCTGAGCCCCCGGAGGCAAGGCCTGCCCAGTCCCCTCCACATCAGAGCCTGCGATGAGGAATTCAGCCCCCACTCACCTGCAGGCATGCACGGCCTTAATAGTGTCTCCCTCCTGGCTGGTGGCCAGTGCCCGCTGCCCCTGTCTGGGGATAGAGGCTTAAGGATGCCTGCTGATCCTCACAGCCCTTTTTCTGCCAGTGGCAGCTCCTGAAATGGCTTCCATGGCTTTCGTGTACTGTTGACTTTGATGTGAGGTTCTGTTGTCAGTGTTCTATGCATGTACCACACGTCCAGTTCCTGGTCGATGAAACAGCGTGGCAGCCCTGTCTCCATGGGTGGGGGAGGCAATCTCTGGGGACCACCTTGTTTGCCCGCTTTTCTGGTGTGGTCAGTTCTGCCACCAGCCAAGCACAAGTGTGCCCCAACTTGGGGGAGTATCGGGCAAGAATGCACTTGCCAGGGCAGCCACTGCCCCTGATTTGTGAACAGATGGGCATGGCCAAGGTAAAGCAGGACGAAGGTTTTCTTCCTAGGGTCACTAAGAAGTATCCTCAATGTCAGTGACTCCATTAGACATTCCCAAAAACCTCTTTTATTCAGATAAAAGAGGTTCCTGCTCGGCTGTCGCAACCAGAACCAACAAGCTAGGGGAAAAAGAGAGAAAAGCATCCCAGGGCCTCAAGGGGTTTAAAAGCTCTGGCTGTACCTCAGTGATGGCAGGGTGCTGCTGCGCCCCCCTGACATGTGTCTCTGTTGTTCTGGTCTCTCAGCCTGACGTGGATAAGGCCGTGGAGGCAGCCCAGGCTGCCTTCCAGAGGGGCTCCCCATGGCGCCGGCTGGATGCGCTGAGCCGTGGCCACCTGCTGCAGCAGCTGGCTGACCTCATGGAGAGAGACCGCGCCATCCTGGCGGTGAGTACATGCCCTGGGTCCCTGCGCACAGGCCTGTCCCTCAGGGGGCACGGGGGCAGGATGAAGGCACCACTGCACAGCGGCTGTCCATTCAGCCCCCAGAAGCGTGGTCCTCTCCTCTGGGCTTGAGCTGTATTATTCTGAAGTCATAGTCTCATGCCCTGCAGCTCGGCTCCTTGGCCGAGCAGCTGCCTGCCGTGACTCCTGGTTCCCAGAGGCAGGACACACTGACCACTGATGGCAGGTCACGGTGGATCAGGCTGGCTGCTGGCCCCACTTGCCTGTTTTATGGACTGGGCTGTTTTGTTTGTTTCCCATTAACTCCTGAAATTTAACCCCTGTCTGAGTGCTGGGCCTCCTGCTTCTCTGCGTTCACTCTCTGAGGTTTCTAAAAATACCAAATAGAAAATTCCAGAAATTACAATCTGGAAGTTTTAAAGAGCACTTATCACTATATATCATCATAATTATTTCTATCATTACTTGTTATCATTGATATTTTTCTGCATCAAAGACCAAGCTTTATCTGAGGCGAGTGCTTAGCCTAGTGGTACCGGCACAGGCTAAGACACTTGCCTGCTACGCGGGAGAGCCTTGGTTCAGTTCCCAGGCCTGGTACCTGATTCCCAGGTTCCTTCTAAGGCTGCTCCTCGAAGACAGTGGTGATGGCTTGACTACCTGGCTTTTTTTTTTTTGCCATCCCCAGGGAGACCCTGCTCATGGCTTTGGCCTGGTCTAGGCCAGCCAATGCCTGTATTACGGGAGCTGAATCAGTACATGGGTGCTTTTCCTATCTGTGTCTTCATGGCTCTCAAATAAACACACTTTTCCACTAAAATTTTGACTAAGAGTACATAAACTCTAGTATAGCTATGCTCATGCATGGTTTTCTATAGGATACATTTTCCACAAACTACCCGGATACCCCTTATCTGCATGGGTTTCCAAATTCCATCTCCCAGGACCTTTCGGAAGTTCCTCGTGTGTACTGGGAGAGCCTCTTATTCTTGCGTCTCTGGTTTCAGGCTCCCGGAGGGGATCCTGCCAGGAAGGTGTTCAGGAAGCCGCAGGCTCCATATGCAGCTTGTGTTGTTCCTTATTCTTATGAAAAGAAATGCCGCTGCTTAACATAGAAGCAACATTCTTTGTAGGACCCCGAATCATTCCCCAGTCACTCCTGAGCTGGGCCACAGTCAAGTGTTTAGAAAACCTCAACATAGAAAGACCCGAGTTCCGATCCTGGCTCTGCTACCTGCTAGCCGTGTGGTTTTGGATAAGTGGTTCACCTTCCTGAGACTTACTTCTCCAAGTAAAAGGCCACAGCTGCGTTAGGTGCTGTGAGCGTGGGCTGCCTGAGCCCCTGGCAGATGGAAGCACTGCATAGCAAGGATGCCTGCGATGTGCAGATCGTAACAGGTATCAAAATAATGGAGGCTGCAGCCACAGCTTCCCTTCCTCCCTGCCACCCGTGACTCCCAGACCTCTTGGTGCAGAGTGTGAGCGTCCACACAGCCTCTGTGCTCTGGACAAGCAGCTGTGGGGTGGTTAATAAGGTCACGGCACCCTCACACTTCGGTCTCAGCTGAAGGACCCCGGGGCATCTCTGCCGACCCTCCTCCCTGGACCTCGGGCTCCTTAGTGTCCTTGAATGCAGTAGGTGCCGATGTTGAAAAATTGTTCCTAACATTGAGGTCTAGTTTGTTGAGGGAGGAAATCTGCTTTTTCAGTCTCTAATTTGAAAAAAAAAAAAAAGTCTTTGTTTTGTTTTGATACTGGAAATGAGCAGTACAGGGGCTGCCCTTTTAAAGGACACTGTCACCTGACAAGGACATTCCCCACCTTGTCCCTGAAAGCATTTGCGGGGGTGAGGTGTGGAGGTGCTTGTGGGGGTGAGGTATGGAGGTGCTTGTGGGGGTGAGGTGTGGAGGTGCTTGTGGGGGTGAGGTGTGGAGGTGCTCTCGGTGCTCTTCCAGAATGCATTTGCCTGGAGGTGCACCTGCACAGAAACTGAAGCTGCTCTCGCTCCCTGTGTTCCGAGGGCAGCTCCTTCACAGCGATGGTTGCTCTTCTCCATGGAGCTTCTCTCGTTTCTTCCTGCAAGGAAAGCCGGCCTCAACACTCAAGCCGCCAAACAGGCTCTTTCAAAAACATGTCTGTCTTCGGCCGCATGAGCTCATCGGCTTGCTATGTCCCTGTGCGCTAATTGCAGGCTGCAGAAGGGTGCCCTGCACACCCTCCCCACCCTGGCCTTCAGTGTCAGCACCATCTTGGTGGCTGCACAGCCCTCAGCCCACCTTCCCCTGCAGCCCACCCAGTTGTCCAGGTGCGGCTAGGTTTTGAAGTGGAGGTCAGCTGTGCTGGCTTCATCATAGCAGATCGCTGTCTCCCATCAGGGGCACGCTGCCCGCGAGAAGTAGGATCCAGCTGGTTGTCCCCACATGAAAGGGATGGAGAATTCCTGGCGAGTGTGGCTTTTGAAAGCTGCAACCGCTACACAAGAAAGTGTGCTACACTCCCCACCTGGATGCTCTTCTTGCACTTGCTCATGGCACTGGGCTTGGCCCCACGTTGCTCTCTTGCCAGCTCTGTGGTCTGGTGGAGATTTGGTGTTCGAGGTTCAGAAACACATGTGGGGGTGTCCTGGCCAAGACTCTGGTTCTTTGGGGACTCATTTTTGGAAGTATCCAAAGGCGGTTGGGGGGACCCTCCCCTTTTTTAATCTGGCCTTCCAATTTTAGTCTGGGTGCTCTAGGCGTGTGTGTATGTAGCAGTTCCCCCAGCACTTTTCCATCATTAGGCAGCATACAAGGGTTACGCCGTCTTCATCCTTCAGAAAGGACCTTCTCCCAGAATGGCAGAGGCAGTGCTGGACAACAGGAGTGGCCGTGGTTCGTTCATGAGGAGTCAGACAAGAACTGCCAGCGGCGGTTGTTCCCATCAAGGCTAAGGCTTGGCTTCTCTGGCTCAGTACTGTGCACTTACCCACCTGCCTGCCAATCTCTCTCTCTCTCTCCCTCCAAGATCTTCTTCTCTGTGCCCTGAGGACCTTGCCCTTGTTTTCCGTGGAGAACCAGGGCCATTACTCTAGTGTGTGAACTTACCCTGGTTCCTCATCAAACATGGCCCAGCTCTGAGGCTGCCTACTCTTCCTCAGCTTGTTGCAGGCACCTGGCCTGTGCTATTTATTATCCCATTTCAGAGATGAGGAAGACGAGCCCTGAGGAGGTTAAATAACCTGACTGAAGTAGCCCAGGCAGAGGGGAAAGCCAGTACTGGGGATAGTAGAACCAAACGGGTGGCTCCCTGCCCAGCCCTCACCCGCGGTGCTCCCTGTGTCCACCCAAGAGGAGACTGAGAGCAGCTTCTGGCTCCATGGGTAGATGGGCAGATGCTGGGTGGAAAATGGCTGGTCCCTGGAGACCCTGGCGTCATCCATAACTTGCAGATGAAGAGAAGGTGACAAGAATTCCGGTGACCATTTCTCTTATCACTGGTACTTTTTGTGTAGTGACTCTATCAGTGCTTGCCTTAGTCCTATGAGAACTAGACCATGACCAGTCTCACTTACAGAGGAGGAAGCTGGGACAGGGAGAAACCCAGCGCTGGGGTTCTGCCAAAGCAGTTGCCACTTGCTTAGAGGGAATATGCTGGTGCACCCCTATGGCCAAGGTCAGCAGAAGGGCAGTGGGCTCCTCACCTAACAGCTGCATCCGTTGTCCATGGCCGGGCTAATCCACAGTATCCGCACAGTTGTCCACAGAGTCCAGATGTTATTCTCAGCCCCTTCCTCATGTACGAGCAGGGAAAGGACTGCTGGGGTGGGGACAGGATCCTCACAGCGAGGTGGCTGCTCAGATGCCATACTGCTGCCTCTGTGCAGCCTGGGCCGAGTCCCTGGCCTCTGCCAGCTTTAGGACTGCACTGTAGAGTGGGAATGGAGATTTCAAGTTCAGACAGGGGACTGTGCAAGTGTACTGGGTACAAACTGGGGGGGATGGGGGAAGGGCACGTCTTCTTCCTACTCCAATGCCACGTCCACAGGAATCCCGCCTGAGGCTGTGTGTCCGGTGGCCACTTCCTGCACAGAGGGATGACTGGGGGTTTCAGGACGGGCTCCACTGGGGCCGCTTGTCCCAAGGACAAAGGGGTTCTCTCTAACCCTGGCTGGAAATAGAAAAGAATCCTGCCATTGAGAGGCTGGCCCTGCACGGCCACCTCCCTGGGCAGCGGGGCGAGGCCGCTGCTCTGGGCCCCGCATCCGGCCACAGCCTGCACGTTGGAGGGACAGCTTCTTTGTGTGGGCGCTGTGACCCTTGACGGGCATGATCACACTATTCCCCCTGCCAGGCCCTCCCTTTTTTTCTCTGCGTCCCCGGAAGCTGGCCCCTGCCGGTCCCACCGACCTTGGGAGAGCTTCCCAGGAATGCCTCAGCTCAGCGGTCAGGGTCATGTAGCTGAAACCAAAGGCCAGATGCCAACAGGGATCCTTCCCAGTGAGACTTCAAACTGGCCTCGCATCTCCGGGGGAGGAGGGTGTGGATCCTTCAGGGGAGCCACAGGTCTGGGTGAGACCCCCACTCCCACCCCACCCTGGGTGTTTGGCAGTAAAGTCCAGTCTTGCCCATCTGGCTATGAAGTCGGTGTCACACTATCTGACGTGTGTGACACTGAGGCCTTGGGAGCTGTGAGCCCAGTGTGTGTATCAACAACCATCCTGTTGTTGTCACAGACCCTGGAGACCATGGACACTGGGAAGCCATTTCTTCAGGCCTTTTTCATCGACCTGGAAGGCTGCATCAAGACCCTCAGATACTTTGCAGGCTGGGCTGACAAAATCCAGGGCAGGACCATCCCCACAGGTAAGACCCCGCTGTGGCTCTACCCTCCTCCCCTGGCAGCCTCAGGTAGCCCCTTTGGGCCTCAGGACCAGGATGTCCCTCCAGGTCCCCCACCCGCTGTGGCTCTGGCCTGATTGTCCCCAGTCTCAGACCTTCCCTTTTAGAGATTAACTCAGACCCACAGCTCAGATCATGGCCACAGCTGGGTGCCAGCTCCCGTGTGGGCCTCTGGGCTTCTGTCTGCCTCTCAGAAACCTTGACCTTGACTGGATAAGCACCTTCTTCTTGTTGCAGATGACAATGTTGTGTGTTTCACAAGGCATGAGCCTGTCGGGGTGTGTGGAGCCATCACCCCGGTAAGTATAGCCACTGCCCTGGATGCTGGCACCTTCCAGTGCTGTAGTCCCCATCCTAGGGTCCTATGGTCCACAAAGCATTTATCAAGCAGTCTCTGGGAGTAAGGGGTTTCGCCCCTTTCTGCTGCAGGTGTGAAGGTGGGGAGCGGGGAAGTCCCACCTGGAACCATGAGAAGCAGCCTCTCCTGGGCCTTGACACCTAAGAAAAGACTTGTTCAGCAGGAAAGGGTGGGACATGCTTGGCAAAGGTGTGAAAGTGCCAGGCTGCTAGGCAGAAAAGGTAGTGCCATCAGAACCGCGGGGGTGGGAACACACATCAGGGGCGAGGGAGGCTTTCCTGGGATACAGGATATTTGCAGGTGTCCAAGGGATGCAGTGATGCTACTGATCTGCCTGAGCAGTCCCCAGGATGCTGGGGAGACAGGAAGCAGCAGGACAAATGACGGTGCACACACACACACACACCCATACTCCCTCACCCCATGGAGGTCAGGATGGTGTCACCCATGCAGCCACCCACAGCAGAGTCCTCTGCACCACGGCCCCCCACAGCATGACACAGCACACAGTAGTTCCAACCATACACACTCCTGTGTAACCCCTAAACCTCTAACTGAGACCATGAAAGGCTGCTGTCCTACACTGGGACACCACTGGGTGTCGGGGACCAGGGTCATGCAGCGGTTGGCTCCGGATGACCATGACATCCTGGTGCTCTGCTGCAGTGGAACTTCCCGCTGCTGATGCTGGTGTGGAAGCTGGCACCTGCCCTGTGCTGTGGAAACACCGTGGTCGTGAAACCGGCTGAGCAGACGCCCCTCACCGCCCTGTATCTCGGCTCTCTGATTAAAGAGGTGAGACATCTGTAGGGAGGGCCTGCAGCCCCATGCCTGGGAGCCTGCACCTGCCTGGCTGGACAGGCAGTGACCATGGTCCTGTGGGGATGGAGGGAGACCCTGAATTTTGCTTGGCAGCTGCACCCCCCCCCCTTTCTGCAGTGGCCATGGATCTGGACAAAATCCTGATCTGTTCCTCCCTGTGGTTCTCAGCTCTTAGCCTGTGCTCTCAGGGGTTCTTGGGGTGACCTGTTTCTGTTGGAGGGTGACCTCACAAGCCACCTTCCAGATACCCCAGAGGGCACCCTCTCATTCTAAGTAGCCACCACAGCTTGGGGAATCAGAAGGCCAAGGGAAATCCCCTTGCAACCTTCCAGATGCCCCTGGCGATAGGATAAGCCATTCTGTCACCAGCTGGCGTGTGGCAAAGACTTGGAAAAAGAAACAACAGGAGAGAGGCTGGGCTGGGCTGGTTCCAATCTGTCCCCTGCAGTTCCTCCCACGTAGGTTTGGGGCAGCCAATACCAAGCCAGTGCCTGGCTTCTGTAGGCCATCGGTGACATCACGGCCCTGTTACATGATCTCTAAAGTCACAGCGGTGCAAAACCAGCACCCGGAAAAACTCTAGCACTGGGTGCTACAGCCTTGGTTCCATAGGCCAATGCATGTGGGGAGCCAGCAGGCGTGAGGGCTCTTGACCCCACCTTGTCTGTTCCCAAAGTGCCCTTGGTTACCCAGAGGCTGCAAATGCGCAACATGCAGGCAGCACCTAGAAAGACACGGCTGCCCAGCCTTAGGAGGGCAGGCTTCTGGGGAGGCCACAGCAGCTGGGGGCACCACTGGGGCCATTTGGAAAACAGAAGGGCAGGTGGGAGAGGTGGGTGACGGGCTACAGCACACACACATTCACACACACATTCTCTCACACTGCCATGCTCACACATTCACACGCACTGGCGTTCACAAATCTTACATTCTCCCATAAACTCACAATCTCTGTCACACTCATTTACACACAAACTCACATTTGCACACACACTGTCCCATGCACTCACACATGCGTTCACCCACTCTCATACACACTCGCGTTCTGACACACACCTTCTCTCACATTCACACACTCCCGTACTAGCGTTCTCATTTATACTGTCACATACACATTCTCACACACTCACACACTCTCTCTCCCCTCTCACACACTCACACCACATGGTACCCTCCTGCTCCAGGAGGGTGGCTGCCACCTTGTGCCCTCTTTGCACACTTGCTCACAGACCTTTGGAGGGCAGGAAATGAGAACTCCAGGCCAGTTCAGGGTGGCATGGCTGGGCCTGGGACTCCTGTGTGACCCGGGTCATTCTTCCTGGGAGATGCTGTTCCACGCAGGACCATTATGCAGCCACAGCCCCCGGGCTCAGCACAGGCCTGTGGCTGCCACCAGTTCTCTCCCTCTGATGCTGGCTCTGTGTCTTCCCAGGTGGGGTTCCCTCCCGGCGTGGTGAACATCGTGCCAGGATTCGGGCCCACCGTGGGAGCAGCCATCTCCTCCCATCCTCAGATCAATAAGATCGCCTTCACTGGCTCCACCGAGGTAACCTGTGCCCTGCCCCACCCCACCCCACCCCTGCTGGCAAGGGGACACTGCCAGGTCATGCGAGACCGAGAACTTCCCTGTCAGCGGGGTCCTTAGCCTGCTTAACTTGACTGCGTTGTAGGAAGGTCAATGACACAGGAGGCTCTGATCCTGTTTACAGAGTAAATCACCTTCTGGTCCAACCCCACAGGACGAGGGAAAAGGCAAACACAGTGTGCTTATAGAAGACCACCCCTCAGCAAGGCTAGCTGGTCAGCAGGCCGGGGGGAGGCGAGGGGTGCCCGAGGGGGCTCCTTCACACGTGACACGTTCCTGCCAATCAGTGCACAGAAAGAATGCGGGGCGGATGGGCAGCACCAAGGAGGTGAGCTTTGTCTTGGTCACTGGCCACCAGGGTGGTGCAAACTCCATGAAAACCAGTCTCTCTCCAGGCAGCAGCTTTGTTGAGGAGAATGTAGGGAGACGGGCGTTCAATCCGAAACTGCAGAAAACTCGGCTCTGAGCAGGTGCCATAGGCGAAGCTTGGCCTGCGATTGCATGGCACTGGCCCCTAAAAAATTATTTTTATTTATGTAAGATGCAGAGAGAGAGAAAGTCCCACCATCTGCTGGCTTGCTGCCCACCTGCCTGTCACAAGTAGTTGGGGCTGGGTGGATACGGAGGCTGGGAGCTGGTTTGAAGCCAGCCCAGGAGATGCTGACCAAGGCCAGGGGTGAGATAACAGTGCTTGGCCCTGGCTGGGGCAGGCACATGGCAGATGGCCCTGGTGATGTGATAGGAGCCTTGGGGCCAGGTTTGCTCCCATGCTCCATGGTGGACTCAGGCCTGTTTTTCATCCCAAAGGTGGGCAAGCTGGTTAAAGAAGCTGCCTCACGGAGCAACCTGAAGAGGGTGACGCTGGAACTTGGGGGCAAGAATCCCTGCATCGTGTGTGCTGACGCCGACCGTGAGTGCCCCCCTTCCCTCCGAGCCCCCGTCCGTCTCCCGCCAAGGCCCTGGCCCAAAGTTTGAATCCGCACATGTGAAGCCTGCCCACTCCAGCCCCTCACAATGATGTCCCCTGGTGGGCTCCGCAGCAGGATGATGAGCTGGCCCCTGTCTTCCCATGTCCCTGTGGGCCAGGCCTTCCTCACAGCCCAGAGGCTTCTTTCTGGGTGTCAGGCCTGATTGGCCAGAGGAGGAAGGTGGCAGCTGGTCCAGAAAATACCCCTGTGGTCTGTGTCCTGCCGCCCATGCCACCCCTTGCCTGGGAAAGTCACCTGCCGAGCAGCTTGGCAGCCAGCTGGCACAATATGAAAGTCCTGCCGTTCTTGGCTCCAGTGAATACAGAGGGAAGAAGGAGCCACAACAGGCATGTGATTCTTTGCTGACAGGGTCAGCTGGAAACAAAAATCTATGTGATTTCCCAAAGACCTTGAAACACCTATGTCTCCAAGAATAACTTCCCCAACCTGTTCACCAGTGCCAGGAATTCCTTTCCTGGAAAACAAAGCTTTCTCTGCCACCCTCAGATAAGAGGAGGATTGCGAACATCCCTGAGGGTGGAGAGAAAGACCTGAATACAATTTCTTACTAAAGTGTGAATGATTTATACCTGTGCTTTCCCCATGAAAGTGGGAGCTGGCAGTGGGAGCGAAAGCAGGAGACTCAAGCTCCGAGGCAGGAAAGGGAAGCATCTCCGAAAGAAGCGTCTCCCTTCAGCCAGGCCCAGCCCCAGCTGCTGTGGTCATCTGGGGAATGTAGACCAACAGATGGAGGATCTTTGTAACTCTTCCTTTCAAATCAGTCAATCTGAAAACATAAACATGTACTTCTTAGGGCTTATGGCATGGCGCATGGCACAAGACCATGGCACACCGGGGTCTTGCCTGGTCTGTGGAGGCATTGTTAATGCACCAATGAGTCTGCAGCCACAGTTCTGGGTGTGACATTCAAGTGCACTTGAAGTCCCAAACTCCATTCCCAAGAAGGAACAGATGCCCTATGTGGCTTGCTTGTGCCACCAGGACCGTGTGCCCCACTTGCTTCTCAGCTCATGCCCACATCCTGCCAGCAAAGTCCAGGGCTGACTCCATGTGGGCCCTGCTGGTGCAGTAGTCACGGACACCTGCCAGGAAGCCATCTCTGGCTTCTCATGGTGGCAATGCCAGGCCAGAAACATGAACACCTGGCCCGACTGGCATCCCAGGCACGGTGTCAAGAGCAACATGCCACTCTGCCCCTGCCACTTGGAACACCACCCGAAGCTCCCACCACAGTTCAGGAAATGAATGAGTTATGTGGGAGGAGGGGCAGTTTCCTCTTGGCACTGCCCTGGCCATCAGGGTGGGGGATGTAGGTCGGGGCCAGAACCCTGTGACGCAGTCGCACTGGCACTCACACAGACAGCCCTGCCAGCCAGGAGCGGCCTGGCTCTCACAGCCTTGGGCAGTGGCCCTGGGAGCTGCCCCTGTGGACCTGGAACTGTTTCCTCCCAATGCTCAGAGCCATCATCAGCCATGGGCCTTCACTCTGTGTTCAACAAAGCTGAAATTTTTAAAGAAATGTATTTATTTATGTTTTTTGAAAGGCAGAGTTCCAGAGAGCAGGGCAGAGACACACACACAGAGGGAGGGGAAGGGAAGGAGGGGAGAAGTCTTCCACCCTCTGGTTCACTCCCCAGACGACCCCGGTGTCAGGGCCTAGGCCAGGCTGAAACCAGGAGTCTGGAAATCCATCCACATCTCTCTTGTGAGTGGCAGGGGCCCAGCACTTGGGCCCTGTTCCCCTGCCTTCACAGGTACATCAGCAGGGAGCTGGATCAGAAGTGAAGCAGCCAGGACTTGAACCAGCGCCCACATGGGTTGCTAGTATCAGAAGCAGCAACTTGGTTTGACCCACTATGCCAGGACATATGCCCCTAAACTGCATTTCTTGATTGTAAGATTCATTGATTGATTTGAAAGGAAGATTTACAGAGAGAAAAATGTATCTTCCATCTGTTGGTTCACTCTCCCCAATGGACCACAGCAGTTGGGGCTGGGCCAGGATGAAACCAGGAGTCAGGAGCTTAGACTGGCTCTCCCATGTGGGTGACCAGGGCCTAAGTACCTGGGCCTCCCTTCTCTGCCTTCCCAGGCACCTTAGCATGGAGCTGGACCAGAAGTGGAATAGCTGGGACTTGAACCAATGCCTGAATAGGATGGTGGTATCAGAGGCAATAGCTTAACCCATGATGCCAAAGCACCAGCCCCAAAACTGCATTTGTGAAGCCAGCACTACTGTGGGGGTGGACAGGCAGCCCATCCCTGAACATGAGCAGCCCGTGTGTGTGCTGCAACATGTCCTGTTTCCCTTCCTATCCACCAAGCACTTACTGATGTCCCTGAGCGCTTACTCACTGAGCGTCCCGCCAGCGCAGTTGTAGGAACTGGTTGTGATTCAATGTCAGCTGTGCAGTTCCGAGGGAGTCCTCCTTGAGGTTTTAAACAGTGTTTTTATATCATATTTTCTAACCCTTCTAAACCATACATGGTGTTATGTTTCTCCATAACACTCTTCTCCCATCTTTCGCCTCCTTTAAAAGGCCTAAGCACAGAGTGTATGGAATAGATCATTGGGCAACTCCCAGTAAAGGACAAGGGGGAGGCAGCAAGACTAGAGGGGTCCTTGGGCAAGTGAAAAGGGGCTGCTAGAACTTTCTGGGCCCATCAGGGTGCTAAAAACATTGAGAAATCCAGGAGGGAAGACTCACTTAACCCTGAACTTGGTGGCTTACAAAAAAAAAAAAAATCCTTTTCCTCTCACTCCCTGCTGGGAAAAGGCTGAGAACAAAATTCTTTTCTGAAATACAGCCATCCCATCAGGGGCCTGTTTTTTGGTGTGGGCAATTAGCCCTGCAGCTGCTGCCAGCTCTGCCTTAATGACTTAATCGCTTCCTCTTGCCCCACCCCTGCAGTGGACTTGGCAGTGGAGTGTGCCCATCAGGGAGTGTTCTTCAACCAGGGCCAGTGCTGCACGGCCGCCTCCAGGGTGTTCGTGGAGGAGCAGGTCTACCCCGAGTTTGTCAAGCGCAGCGTGGAGTATGCCAAGAAGCGGCTGGTGGGAGATCCCTTCGATGTCAAAACCGAGCAGGGACCTCAGGTAACACCTCACGTGACTGCACCACCCAGGAGCTTCAGGGTCCCTTCTCCCATGTGTGCCATCCTGCTCTGCCCCTCTGGGCTCTTCTTAGAAGCCAATTGAGGAGACCTACTAGGTTCCCGTGGGGCTGTCACGCTGGCTAAGGGCCCATGTGTGTCAAAGAGCACAGTGACCGCTGTCAGAAAGCGGAGGGAGAGGACTGGGTGCAGGACTGGCCATGGGCAGCAGGGACACACACATCTCTGGGGACCAAGGACAGGATAAACATGATTGTGGCCACCAGGCTTGAAAGGGCACATCCTGTATCACTTTCTTACTAATTGTGAACTGAAGCAGATGGATAAATATTTAAAAGAGGGCAGCCTGACCATCCCATGCATTATTAAATCCAGCTCGGCAGCAGCCCACTGCACTGTCAGCCAAGGCCCTGTTCCATCGCGGGACTGCGGGTTGCCCAAAGCACAGGCAGCGACACATGTTTTATTTCACAGGCAGCTGTCACCCCGTGCTCATTTCCTTTTCCTTTTCCACTGTCTCAGTTCTCTCATCTGGGAAATCTGAGTAGGTGAGGAATAGTATGAGCACTTACTCATACTATTTATTCCTTAAGGTTTACTTATTTGTGTGAAAGTCAAAATTGCAGAGAGAAAGTGGAAGAGACAGAGAAAGATCTATCTGCTGATTCACTCCCCAAGTGACTACAATGGCCAGAGCTGAGGTGGGCTGAAGCCAGGAGCCAGGAGCTTTATTAGGGTCTCCCGTGAGGCTGGTAAGGACCCAACCACTTAGGCCATCTCCTGCTGCTTTTCTCGGGCCATTAACAGGGAGCTGGATTGGAAGTGCAGCAGTTAGAACTGGACCTGTGCCCATATGGAACACTGTGGCATTGCAGATGGTGGCTTTTCCTGCTGTCCCAGATACCAGCCCCTCTGGTCACTTTCCAGATGCCTCTACATACTAGAGAGATCAACTCTGTGTGATGTTACTTGTCACTGTTTCTTCTCAGATTATTGTTTTGCTCTTTGACTTTGTTTGTGTTTATTTTGCCTTTGGGTTTTTTAAATTTTTGTTTTTGTTTTTTAGCATACCCAAATTTGTCCATCTTTTCCCTGTTGGTGTCTATGCTTGGAGCCATTGGAAGACTGTGAACACTCTAAGTTTTCAGGGGTTGGGGATAATATAAAACCCCTTACGGTTTTGTTTTTCATGCCTACCCCTTTGATCTACTTAGAGTTTATCAGGATCAAAGCTGTGAGGGGTGGATGTGAGCCAATGTTTTTAAACTGAACCCGTGTCTCCTGAGATGTCAGCTCCGGTGACATGCTTGGTCCAGGCCCTCCCCAGGGACAAGGCAGTCTGCCACACTCACTATGGCTGTGCTTATGTTTCTGTTTCAGATTATGGGACTGAGACAAGCCTTTTTTTTTTAATTGAAAAGTCTCAACAAAAGCAAACCTAGCAAAGCTCTGTCTGTCCCAGCCCAAAGCAACAACAGAACTCCCTCAAGGTCAAGAAGAACAGGCAGTAATGGGGGCAGGAAGAGCAGAACATCTGCTCATGAAGACATTCCCCAGAGGGTGGGTGGCCTAGGACGCCGGGGTGGCACCGTGTCCACAAGTGGATGCTATGCTGGCAGTGTTAGCCTTCCGAGAGACTACTCGGACATGATAGCCATGCAGCTGCCCCCACCCTGCCTGTCTGTCCCCAGGGCTCTGCCTCTGGAGGTCAGCCTTTCTTGCTCTATGAAGGGAAGGTGAGCAGGATGCAGGCTCACCAGTAAAATGCAGTTCTTCTGTGAGATGCGAATTTCACATACACAGCAGTGAGTGATTAGTGTCATTCCGTCCCAGGCAGTATTTTGGAGCATGCTTTGTGTGCACTGTCATGTCGTTTTTCTGAAGTTCTGATGTAACTGGACATTCTAAATGATACTTCACCCTTATTCTCAAAGAATAGCTCAAAAGGCTCAATAGACTCCTGAAATGGCAGGTAGCGTTCAATCCCAAGAACACTATGTTTTCTCTTATTCATATGCGTCTCTGGTAAGGTTTAAATTATGAAAGACACACAGTACTAGATAAATAACAACTGCTAAATAGAGCAATCATAGGGCCTTTGCTGTGGCTCAGCAAATCAAGCTGTTGTCCGTAGTGCTAGCATTCTTTGCGGACGCCAGTTTGAGTCCTGGCTGCTCTACTTCTGGTCCAGCTCCTTGCTAATGCACTTGGGAAAGCAGTGCAGGATGGCGCAAGTGTTTAGGGCTCCTGCACCCACATGAGAAACCTAGATGAAGCTTCTGGCTCCTGGCTTCAGCCTGGCCCAGCAGCTGTCACTGCATCCATTTCGGGAGTCAATCAATGGTTGTAAGATCTCTCTCTCTCTCTCTGTCTTTCCCTCTCTTTCTCTTTATTTATAACTTCAAATGAATCTTTAAAAATTGGAACAACGGTACCGATAGACTAATTTTAAGGAAAATAAGAACTGTTTGACCCACAAGCCATGCATATCGCATTGTTGATCTTATATCTAGGTTATGGTTCCTGGCCCACTAACGGGCAGGCAGCACATACGATGTGGATGCACTGGACAGAGAGACAAGTCACATCCCAGGCAGGGTAAAGCTGAATGTGTAAACCTTAGGAGCCGTTTATTTCTGGAATTTTCCATTTCATATTTTCAGACCAGGGTTGACCTTGACTAACTGAAATTTTTGAAGATAAAACCTCAGATAAGGAGGGAACCCCATGTTTTTATGTAACAAATCTCACCAGGATTTGAAGAGTTAGGACAGCAAGGAGTAGAACTTCAGCAGACCTGGGATTCTCCAGGACTGGCTGCCCAGTGCAGGACGGGGAGTCAAGAGGTCCATAAACCATAGGCCTGGAGAGGGAGAGAATGGGCTGTGCTTGCCCCTGGCCCATGTTCTGCAGAGCCAACTCGGAGCCTCGGAGGAAGAGTTACCCGCAAGCATCAGTTAGGGCTTGGCAGGGACCTACTGGGCAACACGGCTGGCAGCGTGAAAGGCCCTGGAAGTCTGGGACGTCTGTGGGGGAAGTGACTCTACTTGCCATTTGTGTCTTGCAGATAGATCAGAAGCAGTTCAACAAAATCCTCGAGCTGATCGAGAGTGGGAAGCAGGAAGGGGCCAAACTGGAGTGCGGGGGCTCAGCCATGGAAGACAGGGGGCTCTTCATCACGCCTACCGTCTTCTCAGAAGTCACTGACAGCATGCGGATTGCCAAAGAGGAGGTGCGTGCAGCTGCAGGCTGGGGACCTTGCACTTCACTTGTGGGGGCCAGACATTCTGCAGGGCCAGCGATCCCAGAAGCCTTTGCAAGTCCTTTCCCATGTGACCTAGCCCCTGTCTTCCAGGTTCTTCCTGTCTCCAACAGTGCACGAGGGCAATGTAGCAGCCATCAGGCTATTCTAGCTAGTTCCTGCTTGGCACCTGTGGTCTCAGTACCTGAGATAGTTGCACAGCTACTACCCGCTAAATGGATTTTGCCAGGCAGTGGGCCATGGACTTGGGTCCAAAGCTGCTGTCAAGCCCGGAGGGAACCTAAACAACATAGCCTTGTTTCCATCAAGGCCATCCTTGGAAATGGCAGTTAAGGAGACCCTGTAAAAGTGCACATCTGCTTGTACCTTCCAGCCTCACTAATAGGCCAGATGGAGGCTGGGTCCTGGATGAGTGAACTGTTACGGAGGGCTTCCTGGAGGCGGGTGTTACCTATTACCCCTGAGGTCTCACGCCCCTGGGCTTCAACCCTCCCTGGGACTGGGTGTCTCCAGGCACCTGTGAAAGGAATCCCAAGGACATGGGCAGTCCTGCTGGGTGACGGCTGGGCTTCCTTTGTGATCCCTGCAAAGGTTCCACTGTGGGGCTCCTCCCTCTCCGTTAGGTCACCATTGAGTCCACAGAGACTCTGGCTCCTCCTCTGCCAGGGAGCTCTTACAGGATCATAGTAGGGTGTGTTCGTTGGTGGAGAACACAGCATGGTGATACAACCTTGCCTGCAAACACCCCTGAGATGTTGCCCCCAAAAGAAACCCACCAAGGTTTGTTTTCTGAGCACCCCAGCAAGCAGGGGTGACCCCCAAGGTTCCTGAGCTGGTATTCCCAGGTACCCTGATGACAACAAGAGACACTGAGTGTAGTATTTTCACCCAAGGGCATAGCCAGCTCATTTTCTGCCATTCTCATGGTCAGTGCATGTGCTCTGGCCATGTGAAAACGGCAGGAAGTGAGTGAGACACCTGCTCAGTGTCCAGGTCCCTCTCATTGCTCACCTTGCAATGAACCCTAGATCTTCGGACCGGTGCAGCCGATACTGAAGTTCAAAAACATCGAAGAAGTGATCAAAAGGGCCAACAGTACTGACTATGGACTCACAGCAGCTGTGTTCACCAAGAACCTGGACAAAGCCCTGAAGCTGGCCTCGGCGCTGGAGTCTGGCACAGTCTGGTGAGTTGTGAGTGGGCCTGGGTGCACGTGTGTGTGTGTGTGTGTGTGTGTGTGTGTGTGTGTGTGTGTGTGTGCACTCACGGGTTCAGCTCTCCCAGGCTGAATGCGTGTTGCCAGGCTCCAAAGGGGCTTCCCATGTGTGTCTTGGACCAGCACTTTGTCCTTTGGTGGGTCCTGGTGTCCACCGTCTAGGGTCAAGGAGATGGAGATTGTGTGATCTGCCAGGGTCCCACAACTGGGACACTTGTCCTGCAATATCAACACTGTTGCTTGAGTTCCTTATATGAAAGGATGTCATATAGCATTGTACAGCGCCTACATGCCTCCTCCCACATACTTTGAAAATAATATTGACTTATTTGAAAGGCAGAGTTATGGGGGCGGGGGAGATCTTCCATTTGCTGGCAGAGAGAGAAAGAGAGAGAGAGAGAGAGAGAGAAAGAGGGAGGGAGATTTTCCACTGTTGACTCATTCCCCAGGAAGCCCCATGGCCATGGTTGGGCCAGGCCGAAGTCTCATCAAGGTCTCCTGCATGGGTGTGAAGGGTCCAAGCACATACATTAGCTGCGAGGTGGATTAGAAGTGGAGCAGTGGGGGCCTGGCGTGGTGGCCTAGCGGCTAAAGTCCTCGCCTTGAACGCGTCGGGATCCCATATGGGCACCGGTTCTAATCCTGGCAGCCCTGCTTCCCATCTAGCTCCCTGCCTGTGGCCTGGGAAAGCAGTCAAGGATGGCCCAAAGCCTTGGGATCTTGCACTCACGTAGGAGACTTGGAGAAAACTCTGGACTCCTGGTTTTGGATCGGCTCAGCACTGGCATTTGCGCTCACTTGGGGAGTGAATCATCAGACGGAAACTCTTCCTCTCTGTCTCTCCTCCTCTCTGTATATCTGACTTTGCAATAAAAATAAATAAGTCTTAAAAAAAAAAAAAAGAAGTGGAACAGCCAGGACATGAACTACCACCCCCAAGGGATCCCCAAGGAATCAATTTTTTGCATCAATTCTGCACAACCTGATACACACACACAAAGAGAGAGAGAGATCTTCCATTCGCTCGTTCCCTCCTTCAGGTGGTTACAACAGCCAGGGACAGGCCAGGTCAAAGTCGGGCACTTCCTCTGGATTTCCCACCTGGGTGGAAAGGTCCTAAACCCTTGGACTGTCCACCACAGTCCTTGCCATACCGTCAACAGGGAGCTGCGTCAGAAGGAAGGCAGCTCATTCACGTGCCATGCTGGCACTGCAGGCAGTGACTTCGCCCACTATGCCACACTGTCGCCCCAAGGGCCTTGATTTAGGCATGACTCCACATCAGATGCTGATGTAGCTGCTGCTTCTGCAGGTAACCGTGAGCATCTTTGCATTCTTTCTCTAGGATCAACTGCTACAATGCCCTGTACGCACAGGCCCCGTTTGGTGGCTTCAAGATGTCTGGGAATGGCAGAGAACTGTAAGTGTCTCCATGCCCCACACCCTATCCCCAGGCATTCACAGGATGGTGGCTCGAGCTGCCAGGAGCCAGCCCCAGCATGAAAGCCACTGGCCTTCCATCTGGAGGACCAGCTGGAACCAAGCAAGGTGCCACCTGTCAGGTGGCATTGCTCTCTTAAATCCCTACCCTCGGCCAGGAAGAAAGGCCTGACTCCAAATCAGCACACTCCCCAGTGCCTAGGCTGGGCACCCCTGCTTCCTTCTTCATTTTGCCTGCTAGGAGAAAGAACTCTATGGCTTTGGATTCAAAGACAGGCCTTCCAGTAGCTGGTCCAGATCCAGTGCTGGATAGTACGTCCGGTAGAGGAGACATTGTGGTTTGCTGTCCTCAACCCTGTCTCTGTCTTGGGCTGCAAAGGTTTTATTAGCCTTCGTGGAACAAACATCTTGCAGGCCCCAGTGTTCCTGAGGAACCCTCTCTGACAGCACCCCGGGGCCAGTCCTGGAACATGTCTGTCGCTGGACCTGCTGCTTGCTGCTTAAACAGTGCATCCAATGGGATGGACTCAATTGCTCTGGCAAGCTCGGGCCCTGGCAGAGCCTTGCTTGGGCTCCCCTGTGAGGTTTTAAAGATGTTACAGAGGATGCTGGCGTCCATCTCAGAACAAGTGCATGGGATTCAGTCCCTCTGCCACCCTCTGTCCTTCTCAGCCCATCCCTGCCTCTGCCGAAGGAGGTCTGGACACCTTGCGGAGTGTGTCCACTGGGCTTGCCTTACAGGCTCATTCCCCTCCAGGGAACGCTTTGTGGCTCTTGGCCACAAAGAGTCTTTGCAGAAAACACACCACCCCTTGAAGGGTGTCGTGCCCTGTAAGACCCTGCCCAGTACCTTCTATACCTGCCTCCCCACAGGCGACGGACAGGTGGCCCTGGCTGGCATCACCTGCGTCCAGGGCCTTCCAGCTGCATGTACTGAGCAGGAGCCCCAGGGTGCACCACGCTGCCCTCCCTGCACATGTTGCTTCACGCCTCCACCATACTCTGTGAGGTTGAGTACAACTGTTTTCAGATGGAATGGTTCATGGGGCCAGTGAGTGACAGAGTCCGAAACAAAAGCTGGCAGCTTCGTTCTGGGACCCACCGCAGCCTGGGGCTTGTGGACAGGGGTCACTGTTAAGCCACCTGGAGGGAAGCCAGCAGGGCTTCAGTGGTCATCTGTCTGCTCTGATCTGATGCCATCAGCCAGCAGGCTCCAGCCCCCACATGGACCTCCTCCCGGAGGCCACACACAGCCTGTTTCTGCAGCAGGCTCTCCAGGTCCCAAACCAAATGTCCTTGGATAGAGAAGCTTCCGGAGCCTGCCTGCCTGCCTGCCTGCCTCCAGGCTTGCCCTGGCTCACGCCAATAGCTCTTCCAAGTCCTCTCTTTTGCTCCATCTCCCTGCCCACTACCCTGACACTTGCAGCTCCTTGGCGCCCCCTGGCTTGCCACAGAGCAGAGTCCCAAGAACACCTGTGCTATCAGTGAGGGCCGTGCAGATGGTGCTGGCCGCCTGGAGTCACAATCTAAATCTTTTTTTTTTTTTTTGGCAAGTCTAATGCTTGGACCCTTGTTGTGCACTTTCCCAGGCTTTTTGAAAACTTTTATTAAGAGAATTCACCAGGAGCCTGGAAAAGGCCTGGAGAAACAGTTTCCTTCCTCTTGGGTCTCATTAGTGTCTTCATGAAGTGGCAAGAAATTCCCCTTTTCCATGGCGAAGCACCAGGCGGTGCATTCCATGGTTTTCCCCCATCCCTGACCACCTGGGCTGGGCTGGCTACTGGCCGCCCACCCAGGGGCCCTCCGGGATCTGTGGGAGGTGGGCTGGGGATTGCAGTGTAGCCTCCTCCGCAGGGCTTTTCTTCTTGATGCTTGGCTTTGCGTTTGCAACACAAGGGATACAGCCACCGACAACTCCACCTGATAGAGCTGTGTGGGAAGTGGGAATCGGAGCCTTCCTCCCTGGCCCTCACCCCCAGTGCTGTCTGTTAGAGGGGACGTTTGTCAGTCATTGATCTGGCTCATTCATGCTCGGATTCCTTTGGCATCCTTGAGGGGGCAGCCATGACACCAGGCTCAGGCTGCTGCCCCCTGGTGGTCTCTGAGAAGAAGTGTTTCCAAAGGGTTTCGCTCTTAGACACCATGCTGATGCACTTCTTGGTTTGTAATATGATACACCTGCCAGAACCTAGTTGCAGAGTAGATCCTGGTGGTATTCCCATTTTACAGATGACTAAACTCAGGCTTAGCGAAGGGAAAGAACCTGTCTACGTGACAGGGCTCTCAGGGAGCGATGCACCAGTGTGAGCAGGTGATGGGCTGGTGAAGCGTCTGCCGGCAGGGCTGTGCACCTGCCACTTCTGGATCACAGGGTATAATCCTCGTCCGTTACTGCTGCAACCACACCACAGGCTCGCTGGCCTAAACAACTTCAGCTTCTTAGGGTACTGTGGGAGGGAACCCTGACATGGGTCGCACAGAGCTGCAGTCGAAGCCACATTCCTTTGGGGAGTTCTTGGCTCTGCGAGGCTCCCCAATTCCTTAGCTGTTGAAGCCCATGCCCAACAGCTGCAGAGCCAGCCCTGGCTGTGGCCTCTGACCCTGCTGCTGAACTTCTCATTTCTCTCCAGTTACCGCTGACTTCTGATATCAGGAGAGATATCTGGAGAGAAATTATATATACATATATATACATAATTTGAGTTTCAAATTATATTTTATTTAGTTAGAAAGGCAGAGGAGTATGGAGAACAGAGCGAGCACGCTGCCATCTGCTGGTTTACTCCTCAAGTGCGCTCAATAGCCAGAGCTTGAGCCAGGCTAACGCAGGATGCTGGAAGCTCAGTCCATGTCTCCACATGAGTGTCAGGGGCTCAGCTACTTGGCTCATCACCCGTGGCCTTGTAGGGTGTGTATCAGCAGGAAGTGGGAACTGGGAGTGGAGCAGGGTCTCTGACTGTGGGTGCAGAGATTCAGCCCCCTTGCACATCAAAGGACCCTGCCTGGTGACTCCCCTTTGGGCCCACCCACAGACCCAAGGGGTCATCTCCTTGTTTGGAGATCAGCTGATTAGAAACTTGAATCCTACCTGCAGTGTTAATTTCTCATTGCCGTTAACATTGCCGCTAACCTAAGCCGTCCACAGGCTCTGGACATCAGGGGGTGGACACTCTTAGAGGAGAGCTTACTCTGTCTACCACAGGTCTGGCAAGGCCTGGCAATCTGCATTTCTAGCGCATTTGCAAATGAGACTGAGGCTGCTGGGCTGAGGCTTGGAGCACCAGCGGTCTAAGGCCTTTCTAGCACAGGGCTCGCATGACCACGCCCTTTCCTAAGCCAGCACACATTTTCTGTCCCTCAGCCGCTGGTCCAGCAGGGAGATTCCACTATGTCTATAGCTGACCCTAGAAGTTTAAGCAGAGGCAAAGGCCAAGGACAACGACAGCTCAAAAGCTCTGGGTTCCCTGTGCCTGCTAGCTCCTCCCTCTTCCTCCTGCTGGTCAGGTCTCTGTCCTCAGGCCCCATTCCCAGTCCAAAGCCTTGGGCCTCAGCCTCCCTCTGTCCTGTCCAGCAGTTCCAAATTGCATCCCAAAGCTCTCTCTCTTTCCCTAACTCTGCCTCTCAAATAAATAATTTTTTAAAGAATGCACCTAGAGCAGTCTCCCGAGATGCACCATGCAAATTCTCTTCTGTGCTCACAGAGGCGAGTACGCGTTGGCCGAATACACAGAAGTGAAAACCGTCACCATCAAACTGGACGACAAGAATCCCTGAGGACAGGCGGGCTCCGTCCTCCATTGCGGGACAGCTGCACAGGGCAGGTGGAACTGCTGAAGGACAAGTGACACCTGTGACCTTCTGAGGACATTTCCTTCTGGACACGGAGTTGAATGACTTTGGATTCTTCCTCTCACGCACAGGCTTTGTTGGTCCAGCTATGGACATGGCCCATGCCTTGTGTGTGAAGCAGCCCAGGAGAGGGAGCCAGGGGCCCCGGGGAGACTCTGAGGACACTTAGGGCTCTGAGCACAGGAAGTGGCCTCTGACATGTCCAGCAGCTGCTTCTTGCCAGCCAGACTCGGTTCTTATAAAGCAGGTTCCTCCTACCCACTGGTCTCAGGGTCACCTGCCTATAGGTAGGTCCCTCTTTCCGGGCAAGGGCAGGACCATTCAATGGGACAGATTAACACTAAGTTTAAGTAGCTTTTCTGAAGGGGGATTCCCCACAACCTCATATCCAATATGGGCATTTCCAGATGGTGTGCCCTCTGGAGAAGGTACTCAAAGCCTTGGGCGTGAGGTGGGCCTGTAGACTGACATTAACCTGGGAGAGGAGGAAGGGGAATTAACCTGCAAACCAGTTGTCACCTCTGGGATAGGAATGAACCCTGTCCAGAGCTTGCCCCTACCTTTGCCTTGATAGCCCCCAACCAAGTACTTAGTTAGGCCGGCAGCAGGATTAGGATCACCTCTGTCGCTAGGGACATCATGGCCCGCAGCAAGTCCAGGATAATGAAAGTCCCACACTGGGGGAAGCAGAGCTGGACCCCAGGCTCCTTACCCACGAGGGGTTGGTGCCAAGCATGCACAGCTTGGCTTTCCCTTATCCACATCCACATTCACCCAAACGGATCGTTTGCATGAGCAAACCAGCTGGGGAGACCGGTGTGGTCTGACAGCTCTGCCTGTCCCATATCCTGCTTGGGCACGTTTCTGACGAGTTAACAAGTAATGTCCGGGTGACAGCCAGCGAGCTCTTGGCTGCTCATCCAGGTGACTTGGAGATGCCATCAGCAGGTCACGGGGTCTCCTTTTCCCTGTTTCTGTGTCTCCACTGGGGAAGCGAAAGCCTTCCCCTACAGCTGTAAAACCAAAAGCAGACTCAATTCAGGGCCTTGCGGATTCACTCATTCTTAAACTGGTGGGGAAAAGGGCGGCTAAGGTTGGAAATGAAGCTGGAGGACCACGGCAAAGCTCCAGGGCAGCCCAGCAGGGTAAAGATACCACAAGAAACTCACCTGGCCTTCAGTTACTGCTTAGACCTGCACGGACTTCTGGCATCAGGATCTGACTTCATACACTGAATTTGCAGTATTGTGTCTCAAGTGACGAGAACGCTCACCGCGACAAGAAGACATGGGGAGTTTCTTGTTCTTCCTTTGTACGATAATGCCTTTCCGACGAGATGTTACATTATTTATAATTGCAATAGCTAATGTATCTTTTTATAGTTGTAAGTAGACAGAGGTGGTATATTTAACCTTCTGTAAAATACTGTATGTAGCGATGGAAATTTATCTAGCGTTAGCTCTCATTTCTTTTACGGTTTACCCCTGTGGCATGGTCTTAAACCTACTCGACTGGGAATTCCGATCCCAAATGCAGCCTCTGTTGAGCACTGCAGCATCAATAACATCACAGCAGGTATCTAAGGAATAGTACACTTTTTCGTGTAAGGACCAATCTCACTTTCATTCTGTGGCAGGCCTCTTTCTGAGGCCCTCTATAGTAAGTGGCTTATTTAAAAATAAAAGCAGTATGGGTGATCTTTCTTTCTTTTTGTTGTTGTTGTTTTTCAAATAAAATTGCATTTGCTCCATGGGTCGGTCCCAGTGTTTTGTCTGTGTGTCCCACCCAGTCCTGTGGCCATGGGGCTTCTCCAGAAAGTTCTGTCTTTGTTGGATCATCTTAAAACGTCACTGCCTCACTGAGGGGAGGTGACATGAATGTGGGCTATGGTGGGCGGGGTGCAGATTGCACGGAGACCTCGGGAAGCTCCACATTGCTGGGGAAGGAGCACGTGTCTTTGTCACTGTCACCCAGGGAACGTTTCAAATGCTTCCAACCAGGAAGCCTCCCTTGCCAGGCTATGAGCTGGCACAGAGGCTGGGTCAAGGCCATTGCTTATATTGGTTAGGTCCACCTGTGCATTTACTATCGAGAACCCAGATCACTTGGGCCATGGAGCGAGGCCTGCCCCTTTTAAGAAACACTCCAGGGAGGGAGGGTAGGGGAAAATAAAACACTCCAATGGCATCTTGGCTCAGAGCTCCCTTAAAGCACAGTGTTGTGTGTGTGTGGTGCGTTTGAGGATCTATGGTATGTGTGGTGTCTGTGTTGTGTGTATGGGTGTGTGGTGTATGAATGGGGGCATGTGGTGTCTGGTATATGTGTATAGTGTGTGTGTGGCGTGCACCGTGTGTGTATGGATTATTTGCAGTGTGGGGAGTATGCACGTGGCAGGTGGACAGATGGTCAACACACCTTGAGCCGACAGCGGCCAGCTGGAATGCCCACGTGCCCAAGTCAGACTGCCTGGGGCCAGGCCTGCCCAGCTTTCCCGTGCAACTTCCTGCTAACACGCACGCTGATGACAGGATGATGGCTCCAGTGACTGGGTCCTTCAGCCAGGCAGGAGGCCTGGACGGAATTCTGGGCTCCTGGCTTCTTCTCGGACCAGCACCAGGCATGGAAGGCATTTGAGAGTGAACTAGTGGGTGGGGCAGCGCCTGCTCTTTCTCTGTTCTTCTGTACTTCAAATACAAGTTAAAGTAGACCCTCTGGCTCCAGCCATGCTGAGGTCGGGACCGGGGTTGCGGGTGGGTATCCAAAGCCGCTGAGAGAGGCCTGTGAGCAAACTGCCCTGCTGGGGACAAGCTGGGGAGGTACAGATGGGAGCCACGAGGGGTCTGTATCCCATGGGACCCTGGGTCAGCCAGCGGACCCCAGGGAAGCAGTCAAGCTTAACCACCCACCCCAGCGTTCCCAAGCTGCGCTGGGGCTACCCATGCCTCACGGGCGGAGTAAAACTAGCTCCCTCCCCGGGGTGTGTGTGAGGGGAAGACACCCCGGCTTAGTCTCAAATTCTCTGAAAACGCAGCTGAGCGGTCCTCGCCTCTGAGCCAAGTGCGCTCCCGCTCGGCGGCGCCAGGTGGCGCGGTCGTACGTCTGGGAGGCTCCGCGGGGCGCCGCGAGTGCGTCCGGCTGTGCGCACAGCACCACCTGCCCTTGGCCGGGGAAGCCGCGCCCACCCCCCGAAGCGCAGCCTCTGGGGCTCGAGCCCCGCTGCCGCTGTCCCCGCTGTCCCCGCTGTGCCCGCTGTCCCCTGCCCTCCGGGGGCGGGGAGCCGAATGCCCTGCCCGGGGTTCCGGGGAGCGGAGGCAACGGCTACAGCGCACGGTCCCTGCGCTCGTTGCCACAGTCGCAGGAGAGGAGCCCCGGGCCCGGGTCGTGCCCTCAGGTTTCGCTCTCACTGGCGGACACGTGGGTAGATTGTGGACCTGAGCCTGGGGTTAAAACAAGACAACGTGGCAGCATGGTTTACCTCACCAAAAGGCACTATCTAGGCACCTATCCCAATTGGCGAGGCTGGGGAGGCACCTTTTGCGCCATGCTAAAGCTCTCAAAATACGAGGACGCTTCTAAGGATTCGTGGAAAACCGAATTAAAAGACAAGTTGATTGAGGTGCGGAAGTTTTTGAAGCCCACCCATGTTTTGTTTTGTTTTGTTTTGTTTTCTTAATACGTACTTCCCAGCAACTTTTCCAAAGCCCCAGGTGCAAGTCCGTTGCACTGTCCGGTTAAGGGGCGCGCCGGGGCCAGCAGCAGACTGGGGAAAGGCTCGCGGAAATAGCATCTGCGGAGATGCTGTGAGTGCGGGGTGTGGGGCTGAGCTCCGCACGTCCAGTCTCACCCCGCGCCCGCCCCGCCTGGGACCATCGGGGACCCCGGCTTCGGCTGAGTCGCTGACAGTGCGCGCGGTGACCTGGGTTTGCAGGTACAGGGCCTAGGGCGGCTCGTCCCGCCCACTCCTCGGGCCTGGCGTCCCGGCCCTGCGCTCGGCGCGCCGCCCGCCCTCGCGGCCCGCCCGCCGTAGGATTGAGGAAGTGCGTCTGGGCCCGGCCCGGCCCCGGCGCGCTCGGCCCGAGGCGCGGGAGGACTCAGGGCGCCGGGACTCCCAGGCCCCAGCTGGCTGCCGTCCTCCCAGCCCTCCCCGCGCCGGCCGCGCGTCCTGGGGGTGCCTTCGCCGGCACCCCGAGCCCACCGACGGCGCCATCTCCGCAGGTAAGTCCGGCCCGCGCCCCTCATCCGCGGGGACCCCGGCCGCTGCTTCCCGCGTCCGCCCCGCCTCTGCCCGCCCCCGGGGTCCACGGGTCCTGTAGCCCGGTGTGCCGGCAGGACACGGTGATCTTTCCCCAGGCGGCGGAGGGCTCCGGGCCGCCCCGGGCCGCGTTAGGATCCTGGGTCATCCCCGGGAACCCCGGAATCCCCCCCTCCTGCTAAGGCCGGTGCTGCGCAGAGCACCGGGGGAGAGGAGTTATGAGGGGGGCAGGCAAGAAACAGAACCAGGGTGATTCTCCTCTGCCTTTAATTTGGAACATGGTGTGAGCTTGTGCGGGTGTCGGGGAGGGACACCCCACAATGGCTGGGTGCGCCTGCCCCTTTCTCAGAGGCTGCAGCCCCTGTCTTTCCCCGAGTCCTATACTGAGAAAAGCCGCCTCTTCTGCTGGCTCCCTTGCCAGCACAGACCCTGGGTAGGCTCCATGGGCTGCTAGGGCCAACCCAATCTTCTCTTTCTTACTTCCAGGCCATAAAGTTTTTCCCTGCCCAGTCGCATCCCCCTGGCAGGGGTCAGAGAGAGCCAGTGAGAGAGTGAAAGCGAGAGAGCCAGGGGTGTATCGTTCTGTTTTTAGCAAATACACCAAATACACGACCTGTTCAGTAAATTCCCCACTCACGTGGGAGTGAAGTGTCAGGGTATTAGAGGGACAGGTACAATGTGCCAAATTTTGGGAAATATGAACATTAGTTCCCTTTTATGATTGGGTTCTCGGTGTGGTTGTTTATGTCCCAGAAGAAAAACAAACAGTAAGGCCGTTTGCACGTTGAATCTGCTCCCGACTCTCGTTCTGGGTAAATCAGACTTTCCTCCCCACCCTTCCCCACTGCGGGGTTCCTGAGGTCGACTTCATGGCTGCAGCGGAAGCCCTCGGAGTTGAGCTCATCCTTGGGACTCCATGCCCTGTCTGCCCCTCCTGTCCACGTCCCTTGCTGTCCCTTGCCGTCCCTTGCCGTGTGGTGACTTTGTCAAATAAAACAGATGCACAGGAAGGTGCTGGCCTTCTTCTCACAGCAATCTGGTGGCTTCTTCTAGTCACAGGGGTGAAACATGGAGACCCCCTTCCTCCAACAGCCCACCAAGCCACTATTCCCAAACCACCTGGCCACGTGGACCCCTCTGCCCCTGCGTGGCTGGTCCAGCCCTTGACGTGGCCTTGAAGGGCCTTCCTGGCCATACTCTCTTACACATCCCTCTCACTGCATCCCTCTCACAGTCCCCACCAGCTCTGTCTTCCTTCCTCATCTGTTTGATTGCCCCCAGTCACTTAACTCCCGAGGCCAGAAGCCATACCCATGCTGCCCACCACAGGGTCAGGAGCACAGTGGAGGGTACAGTGACTGAGTCATGAACGCCCACCGTGGTTAGCTACACTACAGCCACTCAGGAATGGACAGACATAACTCATGCGAGACTATCTTAAAAAAAGTGCAAAATGGAATTCAAAAATCAACGTATTTTGGTACAAAACAAATATTGAAATACATGCATGGTGTTTGTATATGATACATTTTCTTTTTTCTTCTTTTTTTAAAAAAAATTTCATTTTGGGTGATGTTTACATAGTTGATTAGGGTGGGAAGAGTTGAGGATTATAGGAAAGTGGGTGAGACTATTGTTTCCATATTTTCTTTTTCTTCTTCCTGTATCTGGGGGAAGGAGGGAGACCAGGGGAGAAGCCAGACCCAGACTCCCAACCCTCTCATTATCCAAGGCTGGGGAATGGATCAGTGGTGTCATCCCAGGGTCCCAGTATGGCACGCACTCTGAGGGTTCTGCTCAAATGGCTTCTGTAGTTCTGAAATGCTGTCGATTGCGCCACTCCAAGGGTGAGAAAATCTCTCCAAGGTCCGCTAGCTGACACAGTCCACCCTAGAATCTCCATTCACCCAGAAATTCGCTGTCAAGCTTCACTGGGGGTATTTGACCAACTTGTTCTACCCCCTTCCTCTGCTGTGGTACCAGACGTCCTCTATAGGCTCCAATGGACTGCCCAGTCCTCCACATGCATCTGGGTATGCTGTCCATTGTTACGGCTAAGCCACTGAGGATGACCAGTTCTGACACATTGTACTCCACTCTCAAATCACAGGTCCTGCTACTCTCCCCATGGTCAGAGTTCTGAGTCCAGCGGTTCAGTTTGGTGGACCCTCAAAGAAATCTTGTCTGAGGTGATCCCAGACCTGACTCCTGTGTGTGTTCACCAATACGGTGTCTGGCTCATTCTGTCACCCACACACACATCAGCCTACACATACACTGATATTTGCAATTGCTAGGTCAGATCTATCTCCAGCCCCTCTTATACAAACCAATGGGTACTGAGCCCAGCCCAACCTTGTCCACCACATGCTCAGCACTCCCACACACCATCAGGACCTGCAGCATAGTCAGAGCAATGCCCAATAACCCCCACTGTGCTGGTCCCCAGCCCTGGTTCCTGTGCCTCCCAGCATGTACAGTGAACTGGTTGGGTTTGTCTCACATCCCATTGAGCTCTCATACACATCATTGAGTGTTGAAGCATAACTCAACCCAGCCAACTCCACTGCCAGTCCATACTCATGCTAGTGGGTGCCACCTCCCATCTCACCAGGCCTGCCCCCAGTCCTGGCTCACGAGTGGGAGCCGCAGCCCAGCAGAGAAATGCCCACAGTTTCCCTATTGGACCCACTCTCTACCCTGATGTTATGCTCTCCAGGTGGTTCTACAGTCTAGTTCGACAAGACTTGTCCCCAGTCCCAGCACTTGCCAGCTAATGCTGTGGCAAAGTCCAATAGCCTGCCTTTATGTGTAGTGTTTGTGTAAGGTACATTTTCCATGAACTTTCTGAAGACCTCCTCGTATGTGGTTTCATGTGGTCTCTCTGTTCCCAACCATTGCAATCTGAGAACTTTGTATATCTCTGGCCTGGCACTTTGTGTTATGTTGATGTCCACAAACTCACAAAACTTGATTTGTACTGGTCAAGGGATGATATTGATGCTGAAGGAATGTCTGGCATCTAGAACTGTGGCCCAGCCATCTTGTGCCCTGGCTGTTGATTCAGAGAGAAGCTGGACAATATGAGCACTTGGCACCTGCCTCACTTGCCAGGGTCTTCTTGTCAGCTCTCAGGCTGCCTGAAAACAGACTTTAGTTTCTGCTGTGGCCAACCTAGAGTGATTACCTTACTGAACTATCTGTCCCAATACCAGCTTCAGACTCCCAGCCCAGTGAATACATCTGGACAATGAATGGGAGCTTCCTCTTTCTTTTCTTTCTTTTTTTTTTTTCCTTTTGCTTTGTTTGTGGACTCAGTAACACTGGCATCAAAGAGTTGGGCCAAGGAAATGAATGAGGTTTTACCAAAAAATTATCAGAGCAAGCATTATGGCAGAATGACCTCATAAAGCCTTCTCGAGGCTACGTAATGAAAAGGAGACACATCACGTCAGACCAGAATGGCTGCATCATCCGTCCCCCAGAGCAGCAGGAAGAAGCCGAGGTATGTTTGAGGACAAACGTTGCGCTCACTATTTAAGATGAGCTGCCTCATCTTAAAGCCTCCACCTGCCAACTTAAGCCTGAGTGCTAATTATCATTTAAAAACTGCTCCAGTAGTACAGTCCTCATTGGTAAAGTGATTTGCAAAAGGAAACTGAAAAAGGGAACAAAGTGTCCCCGGCGAGGGTTAGCTCAAAATACTTTGCAGATTTTACCTTTTTTTTTTTTTCTCAGCTTGAATACGTTGTATGCCGAGACACTTCTGTTTTCAGGAGGAATGTCAACTTTGGGCTTTTCAAATGTCACCGGGTGCTTTGGGTTTTGGATTTTGAGGGGATTCTAGAAGCCGACAGCAGCTGTGCTGCGTCTCAGCCTCTGGATGTTCGGGTGTGACTTGCAGCCTTAAGCTGATAACAGAGTCCAGTCCTCTCTGTGGCCATCTCAAGTGAGTTTTCCAGACCCGGTTTTGCAAGCTTTTCATCCGAAGCAGTTGTTTCCCGGTCAGGGTCTTCCCCACACACGGTTTCTCTAGACCTTTCCCTTGTCAGCTCATGATGAGCAAGACTGCGTCCTGGCCTTTTCCAGCACCTTCTTTGGCCTCAGAGTCTGATCCACTCAGACCAAGTGTCTGATTTCCAAGCTTACAGATAAGAATTTTCCACTGTCTTCACAGCTTTTGGTTTGTGGCTTCTTCAAGGCCCACGCTGCTCAGGGAACCTTCTAGAATCTACCAGCCGGAGGGAGAGAAAGAGAGAGGGTTCATTTTCTGAGCTTGTGAATTAAAGTGGGAAGCGCTACAGGCCTGCCCAGCCCTCTCACTGTTGCACCGGGTGGTGACCCGCCAGTCCTGTATGGTGAATTCCCCCAGGGCCTGTGTGAAGGGGGCCAAAGTCTGCAGCCAGCAACTCAGTCCAGGTTTCCCGCGTGAGTGGCAGGAGCCCCACTACTGGAGCCATTGTGGGTGCCTCACGGAACACACAATGGCAGAAATCTCGAATGGAAGCAGAGGTGGGACTGGGACCTGGGTGACCCAAGCGACGTTACAACAGCTATGCCAAATACCCACTTCCCATCTGAGATTTCCTCTTTGTGTAATTCTGAGCTTCTGCACCTTGGAAACGGTCTAGGATCAGCTGATTTGTTGCAGGCAGCTCTCCTGTTAAGTGGGGCATGCTTACCAATACCCCTAATTCCTGCTAACTGCATGTGAATAAAACACCCCCATCCCCAGATTGTGGTAAACAAAGATAAGCTCAGGTGTTTCCAAGTGCCCCCTGAGAGCAGAAAGTAAACCTTGTGGCCCTCACATCAACCCCAAAGCTCCCTCTGACTTAGCTGCTCCGTTGCCTGTCACAATGCCCTGGGGACCCCTTCTCCTGGCACCTGTTGCTCTCCTTTCTTTTGAGATTTCACATCCACCTCTGGGCTTTCAGAAAAAGGAGGAGTTTGCATCACAGTGTCTTCCCCGCCCCAGCTGGAGGGCGGACCCTGAAGGCAGAGGTTTGTTCCACTGTGTTGGTGTCACTGGCACCATACATTGGTGTTGACCAAGGAAGGCCCTTGCATACCTCCGCAATTGTTTTGGGTTTCTGTGAGATTCTTCTCAGAGAGACAAACCGTAAATCCAGTGCCATGATGGGTTGGGGAAAGGATCGACATTCTGTGTTGTTTTTTTTTTTCTTCTTCACTTTTCCATCCTGTGAGGTTGGGTAGGTAAGTGGGCTGGGAAGAGAACTATTGCAAAGAGAAGGAAAATGCACACAAAATAATGTCCCAGTGAATATGTGTGGGGATGCAAGAGGACTTGACACACCCTTCTGATTTGATGATGATTTTCACCACAGGACGTCGCAGCTCCTGCTCAGCTAGGATGGTGTGTCTGCAACTTCACCTACCCCGCGGGCAGTGGCAGCTGCAGTGACGAGCGTGGAACCTGTCTTCAGACATCTACTGGCTCCAGGGCTGATGGCCGGCATGTCGCAGAGACCTCCCAGCATGTACTGGTGTGTGGGGCCGGAGGGGTCAGCTGTGTGTCCCGAGAGCGCCATGGAGACCCACACTGGTAAGTCTGGGATGACCCGTGCACCTGCGAGCACCAGCTTTTCCTACGGATCGTCAGGGCCACATAAGCTCAAGGGCTTTTTGTAGAGTGAGTGCCAACTCTTTGAGATTCTCCACGACATTCTCAGGGGTCACCTGAGTTGTCCTGGGCTTGAAGACCTTGTGGAGGTGCACCTGCACGTGGGTGAAAGGAATGCTGCTGCTGTTTTCTTCTTTTCTAAATGGGAATTTGGTTTTGGCTTTACGTTATAAAACGAATGTGTGTTTATTAAAGGAACAATGAGAAAAGGGATGTAGGACAAGTACCCCACTCTCCCCAACACAACTTGGCCCACTGTGCCCTGGGTCCCTTCTCTGTCCTCAAGGGACTGTGTTGTAACTGCTCTCCTTAGAGTTCTGTGTCTGTAGATTTGTAACCTGCTCTTGTTCCTCCTGACGTTTTATCTGTGGTGTTTACGCAGGGACTAGCTGGGTCGTGCGATTAAGGGTGGCACCATGTAATAAGAGGGCACCGTGTCCAGGTGCCGGCCACACTCTTGTGTTGCTGTTGCTCCCTGCTGTTGGTTTGGATTTTAAGGTTGTTTCTGTCTGTTAGATTTCCAAACGTCAGGTCATGAACTTCGAACCTTATTAAGCCATTTGGTTTAACATGAAAGCTGCACCACTTTTAATCCCAATGGAACATCACTGTTGTTGTAGCAGTGAAATGCACTAATCTCCCTATCAGAAACCCACTTCAGTGCTTGAAGTAATCATCTTTAATCGTCAAGGCCACATGTGCAAATTCCCTTTTTCAAAACAAGGTTTATTTATTTTACTTGAAAAGTCAGAGTTACAGGAAAAGAGGGAGACACATACACACACACACACACACACACACACACACACACACAGATTTTCTATGCTCTGGCTCACTCCCCAAATGGCTAACAATGCCAGAGCTAACCCGATCCAAAGCCAGGAGCCAGGAGCTTCCTCCAGGTATCCCACATGGATACAGAGTCCCAAGAACTTTGGCTAACTTTTGCTGCTTTCTCAGGCCATAAGCAGGGAGCTGGATCATAAACGGAGCAGCCAGGACACAAATTGGTGTTCTTTTGGGATGCCAGCGCTGCAGGTGGAGGATTAGCTTGTTGCACCACCATTTCAGCCTGAAAATGCTACTTATAATCTTTGTTTTCTTGCTAGAGAATTTGAGGGTAATACATTTGCTCAAAGTCAACAAAACACAAATCATGGAACTGCCAGCTGAACCTGGCTGTGGCCTTAGAGTTGTCCATCTTGAAGCTGGACCATCCTGTAGGGTTCAAGAAGGGCCACATGTTTGTACCTTCAGCATATTAACCACTGGGCGTTGCAGCTCACTGCTCACTCGACAGATGCTTGTTCAATTGCTGCAGTGTTGTTGTTGTTGTTGTTTTGTTTTTCTCCATCTCGATGTCCAGAGGCTAATCGGGGTGATGTTGCTGGAGAGTTTATTTTTTACACATGATCAAATTATGAAATGGGAGAATTTGCTCCATGACATTGCCCAGCACTAAATGTTTCCAGGGCATTCTTCTTGCGCTTTTTTTTTTCCCTTTTCAGATGAGTGACTTTTTACTGTTGGCTTGTGAGGAAGGCCTAGTCTGGGGAGTTAGAGGGCAAGTGGAGAATGCTAGGCCCAAGTTCTGGATTGCGTCACAGCTCTGTTTTCCCAGCTGCAGCTCCTCTTAGCAGTTCTGAGGGGCAGGTATTGGGGCCCGTCCAAGGTGTACCTGCTAGGTAACTGCATTACGTGAAAGAACCAACCCCTCAAGAGGCTTTGCCAAGTGCCCTTCCTCGTCAAGAGCTGGTGACCCAAGCAGGTGCTTCCCATCGTGGTCCCCTTGTCGATCCCCGAAGTAACAGCTGAGAGACTGGAAGGAGACGTGGGTGTTTTTCCCGAGTCCCCTGGTGATTCTAATGTGCTGTTGGGTTTGAGAACCAAGCATTCCAAACAGTTGGAGTCCCACTGAGCAGCACTTTCCAAATGTGTGCTCGGGATGTGTGCCCTTCCCTGGGCATCTGGGTACGGGGCATTTCCAGCAGGCTCCCAGGTCATCCTGAGAAGTAGGCAAAGTGAGAAGTCCTAAGGACCCAGACAGGAAGGGCGCTGGACCCACCTGGGACCCACGCTCCTCCTGGGCTTGGGGCAGAGGACAGAACTCCAGAGTTCATGTGCACAGACAGGCCAGTCCCCGTTGTCCCGCTTAAAGGTCTGCCAGTTCTCTAGTGAGGTCCCCTCACCGGGAGGGAAAGTGCCTGGGCCTCTCTGTCCCTCAGTGACTCCAGGCTCGCCTGCCTCCCTTGTTCTGAACAAACTCAGGAACGCACACAGGGTGGAGGTGGAGAGGCTGGTGCAGAGCCCGCCCCCGCCCCCGATCCTGCCCCGTGCATTGTTCTGGGTGCTTGGGTTCGGGAATAGGGCAGGAAAGGGATTTCCTGTGACCCTGAGGGAGAGGGACCTATCCCATAGCCTGCAGGGCTGAATGTGAGTGGAAAGGGGCCTAAAATTCCAGAACATTCCCGTGGTTCAGCACTGAGAAAATTAGATATTCAGTGATTATGATGACGACCAAATGGTCCTAAGAAGTCATGGAGCAGTGCTCAGGTTCGGCACGTGTCCCCCAAAATGGAAGTTCCACCAGAGGGTGAGAGGCGCTAGCTGCCTAACCATGGAGATCCATGTCGCCGGCCCCCCACGCCCACCCACAAGGGGGCTGTCATTGTAGCTATGTGCTCTGCTTATCTGGGTGGGGTGTGGGTTATGGTTCTGCCGAGTATGCGTTTCTTTGTTGGGCTCTGCATCGCTATTGAAATCAGAAGAATTGCGGGTAGTTTTCTGAATGGCTGTTTCTCTGCCTTCTGATGTGCTGTGGCTGGGTCCACCTCCAGCATTCGCATCCACAGTCAGTTTTTCTTCAGCTGCCCTCTCCTCACGCATATCTTTCTGCACTGCCCCATAGGGGAATACTGGACCCGATACACCAGCCACGGAGCCCTTGCCACGCCCATCCTCTGGATTTGTACCTCCCCTGAGATCAGGGGGTCCCTGCCCCTCACCACTTCCTCACATCCATGAGGTTCACTTTCGGGAAGATTCTTACAGACCTAACTCCCAGGGCATGCTAAGAGAAGTTGGTCACCAGGAGGAAACCCAACGATAACGCCTATCATGAGGGCCGGTTGTCTCAACTTTCCAAGATAGTGTCTTTGGAAATGATAACATTTTTTTAAAAGGTTTATTTATTTTTTTTTTAAAGATTTATTTTTATTATTTTTTCATTGGAAAGGCGGATATACAGAGAGGAGAGACAGAGAGGAAGATCTTCCGTCCCATGATTCACTCCCCAAGTGAGCGCAACGGGCCGATACTATGCCGATCCGAAGCCAGGAGCCTCTTCCGGGTCTCCCACACGGGTGCAGGGTCCCAAAGCCGTCCTCGACTGCTTTCCCAGGCCACAGGCAGGGAGCTGGAAGGGAAGCGGGGCTGCCGGGATTAGAACCGGCGCCCATATGGGATCCCGGGCGTGCAAGGCGAGGACCTTTAACCACTTGCGCCACCGCGCCGGGCCCGGTTTATTTATTTTTATTGGAAAGGCAGATCTACAGAGAGACAGAGAGACAAAGATCTTCCATCTGCTGGTTCACTCCCCAAGTGGCCACAATGGCTAGAGCTGAACTAATTCAAAGCCAGGAGCTTCATCCCAGTCTCCCACATGGGTGCAGGGTCCCAAGGCTTTGGGTTGTCCTCCTTTGCTTTCCTAGGCCACAAACAGGGAGCTGGGTGGGAAGTGGAGCAGCTGGGACATGAACCAGTACTCATATGGGATCCCGGTGCATACAAGGTGAGGATTTTAGCCACTAGGCTACTGTGCTGGGCCAATGATAGCATTCTTATTCTACTTCCAGCAGTGGCTTGGACAAAGACCCACACCCCCTTTTAGTAAGACACTGATTCATGTTTGGATTTTCTGGGAATGGCATCTTGTTTCTGTTTGTTTGGAGGTATGTGTTTTCAGACCCTTGACCTGTTGAGACCTGTGTGATCCCTCCTTTGACACTGAACAGCTCCTGCCCTCCAAGTCTTGGAGGTGTGAACCAGGGCTCTGTGCCTGCCGTGTGGCTCTGAGCACAGCTGTGTCCTGGCGAGGTGTGTCTCCACATCAGGTGAGCAGCGGCAGCGGTCAGCTCCCCCGCAGGGCAGGGGGACCTGGTAGGAAGCGTTGTTGGGCTCACACGTGTCCGTCCATAGTACTAGGACTCTGGGAGAACCACTTAGGCAAACCTGCCATTAGGCATGCTTCCCTGGGTGTGTGCCACCTGCCAGAGTAGAAAAACCTGTCCCGCTGGCTGAGGTGAGGCACCTGGGAAAGTGGAGAGGGGAGAAAACTTCCAATCATTCACAACGAGGACATTTGGTAAGACTTCCAGATTGCAGAAGGTAGGGGTGTCTGCTCAGACACCCCCCAAGAGGCAGCTCCCGCCCGCCCTGTCTGCAGGGTCAGAAGCCCCCTGGAGCAGGGTCCACCCCCGGATGCAGCATGGACCAAAGGAGGGGAAGGAACCTTCTGGAAGGTCTTCAAATTCCAGGTTGTTACCTAGCTATTTCCAATGTCCCTTTTTGTCCCTACTGAATTGCCTTTGTTTTATTTTAACTCTGATATATTAAAACTATAGCTTCAAAGAGCCCAGATTGCTCCATCCGGGGCTTTTCCTGACTTCCAGAAATAGAAGTAGGAAACAAGCTGAATTAGGAACTGTCTGGGGAGGCTGCATGCCTTCTGGCCATGTTGGTGAGCCAGACCACATCCTTAACCTGTTCCTTGTGACCATGTGCTGCGGGTCCGTGCTGAGCTGAGACCCAAAGGGAGCCTGGAGAGGGAGAATGGATGGGGCTTCACTGGACCGGTGGATCATGGTTGTCCTGCATCAACCTGGCTGGGCAGCATGGCCAGCATCCACTGGGGCATCCCTTGT